ACCACTAAACCACTGGCGCTGTTAGGTGATTGTTACTAACATTTCGAGGAAAAATTGGCCAAGTATGAAACATAACTGGCTGTTTGCCAATATCCTCAAACCCCAAATGCGCCAATTTACAGGAACGCTCTTGATGAAGGTGAAATGATTTCGTTTGGAAACCATAGCCAGAGAAGTAGAATAAATGAGAATGGGTATATAGCGAGTCGTGAACCGTAAAATGGGTGAACCCCGGGAAGAAAAGAAGAAGAAAAAAAAAACCCCGATTATCGAAAAAGGAAACACCTTCACAAAGACCCCCTCTTCTGCCTCTTCCTCCCCTTTTTCCCTCCTCCTCTCCCGCTATCTTCCCCATCTACATCCTCATCATCTTCCTCCCCACTCTCCTCCTCCCTGTCGCCTTTACTCCCACTCCCGTTCCCTCCCTTCTCATTCCCTTTTTTAATACTGATTAAACACCCCTGCCCTTTGAGTCTCTTTGTCAATGGCGTACTGGCCTTCATCCCCGGGAAATCCTTCGCATTATACACGTGAAACGGCTCGCTCATCACCGTCGCGACAATACTACTCCTATCACCCGCCATCATCCTCGCGGGGTCCAGCACGACCAGCGCAAACTTGAGCCGAAACGTCCCCGGCGTGCGACAGCTCAGGTCGGGGAAACAAAAGAAACAGCCCTCCTCGCCGTTTTCATCTAACCCGACAAAGGGGGACGCAACCAGCGTCCCCATCAAACGCCGCTGCTGCCGGAAATCCTCGGGCATGCTGCTCATGTCCTTGACGCCCGTCTCGTTCCAGATGCTGCAGTGGATGACGCTGAACTGATGCCGCAGGAGCCGGCTGTGCTCCCCGCGTGAGAGCGTGTCGTTGTGGATGGTCAGTTGCACGATGGGCGGCGGGTCGATGACGCGCCGGTCGCGTTCGCCGAAGCCGCAGCTGCGGGCGGCGAAGGGCTGTTGACGGACGGAAATTCGGTAGTCGGTCTTTTTGCCTGAGGGTGGTGGTGGTAGGGTGACCGGGTTCCGCATGTTTCTGGTGTTGTCGGTGCTTATGAGGTTGGATATGCTCATGGGCCGGGATTCCTGCCTTGGGGAACCGCCTTGCTGGGAGCTGGATGGAGTCTGTAATCCCTCGGGTGATGGAGAGTCGTTGCTGTTGTGGTTGTTGTCGAGTGTCGAGGCCTTCCGTACCATAGTGAAATGACTGGATGACTCCTGCCTTAATCGTGAGGGTTGCTGGTGGAACGGGGGCCAAGATGGCTCAACATGCGCCTGATGAGCATTGCTCGTTTGCCTTGAACGAGACTCGTAGGTCGACTCAGCGGTTGACCTTTCACTGGCGGCAGTGGAATAGGCTGGAGACAGGCGGCCGTCTAGTTGCCTTCCATTAAAAGGACGAGCCTCGCTATGGGTAATCGGGAGTTGGGGAGGTGTTTGTCCCACTGGTGAAGGAGTCGGGTAGTCGGAGTAATAAGTCTGGCTATGGCCTCGGTAAGCTGGATCGCAGGAAGAAGAAACAGAACCAGGACCAGTGATGGGTATTATGGTGGTCACGGGAGGCAGCCTGTGTTGTTGCTGTTGACGATACAAGTGCGGCTGATGTGGTGGCTGTTCTGGCATGTAATGTACGTGCCTTGAGGAGCAGGCCTCATAAGGAGTGTAAAGTGATCGGGACATGTTGTTGAGCGTATAAGTGGTGCCAAAAATGTGATGAGAAGACTCGACAGCACTAGACATTAAGGAAGAGGGCGTAAGACGGAGGGGCACCCGATATGGGTATGGTTATGGTTCTGTAGGTAGGCAGTGTTAGTCAAGGGATCTTGTAGGTCGGCGATCCTGCTGTGTTACAAGATGGCAACAGCGAAGCAAGAGCGAGGAATGCGGATGGAGCCGGTTCTGCTTCCGACCAAGAGCCGATACGAACCCAGATACTGGGTTCTGGGATGGAGCATGGACGGTATGTCTTACAATGGGAGAACAATAGGTCCAACCAAGACAGATGCCAGCAGTGCAGGCGTCTGGTGTTACATGCAAGGCCGTGGGTATACTTGGCGAGTTCCAGGTTCCAGGAGTGAGAACAAGGCCGGCGTAGAGATACAGGTGTACTGGGCCAGATATTGTGAGGTTTCGCTGGGACGAGATGCTGGGTGGTGGTCTCTGCTGTGGGCAGCCGAGTGGTACTTGAGTGTATTGAGCAGGACGGCAGCCCGGCGCGGTGGTCCCTCCAGGCACAAAAACTACAGTTGTAGTAGCCGAGTGCGTTGGTGTACAGGCGGGCCTATGTGTATCGACTCCGAGCAACGCTATCTTGCTGGTCTATTCGAGGATAACAAGGCCAAAACGGGTGGCAAGGGCACGCAGGGGCGGGGCGCTTATGAGTAAAAGGCGCTTAAGTGAAATGCCGAGGTGTTGAAGGAGCAAATCCAAGGCTAAGCAATTAGACTGGTTGAATTGTAGGGCCAGGGCGGATGTAGGAACGGGTAGACTGGTGAGAATATATTGAGGCAATATGGCAAAGCCGGGGTAGTTGACAACTGGGGAGATTAAAGAAAGGCTGACATTATGATATTTGCCTGGCCCAGCACTTTGAGGGACGGGGAAGAATGGAGGAGGGGGGTCTTGAGGCTATCCTAAGTACCACGTCTTGAGAGAAAGAGGGACGAATAAGACCCCCGACTGTAGATTGCCTAGCAGGGATGCCAAAGTAGACTAGGCGGGTCGATCGTTGGCAATCCAGAAAGCGTTCGGGTTAATCAGCTTCGGGGTCTTTTCTTCCTGACACTGTCTTGATATCCTGGCCGCTGCAGCATGGAAGCGCTAGATTTGGTTTGGAAGGCGTGGAAGTCAGCAGCAATAAAGGGGAACTATTGGGAATGGAACAGCTGTCGGGGCCGGGCAAAATGTCCGTTACACCAACTACGAGAGGCCCTGATCTGCATTGTGCTCGGCTTTAGTGTACCTTTGTACACCACTGAGCAACATGTACGTCTGTCTAAAAGGACGACGGTAACAACGAACGATGACGGTCTCGATCTGCACCGCGTAAGTACCCTTGGGAGATCCCGCGCTAAAGGGTAGCCTGGCGTCAACCATGAAAGGCTGTTGAACAAGGGGATGGGTTTCCATGTCGACTCAGGAACGGATGGGTGTTACTGTGTCAACAGGGGGGGATATGTAAGCAAGCAATGGAGCAACGAAGGGTTGCGCAGGTGGTGGTCGCCCAGGCACGTCACAGTTCACACCCAGCACCGTGGACAATGTTGACGACGGATGGTGGTGAGACCTCAAAGAGGAGAGAGGAGAGATGAATGTGGGACATGTAGAGCCGAAGTCTCTACACTGAGGGTCAGTGATGATAGATATGGCCTGAGTTTGGGACAAAAGATGCCGTCTTTTGCAGTAAACAAAGGGCAAAGGTGTTTTACCTCAGTCTCGATAACGGAAGAATGCCGTCGAATGAAATTAGCATCATGATCCATCAGTCACCTAACCGCGTGGGCCCTACCGCTATCCTCTCTGATGGCCATGTTATTGGATGCTGTTGACAAAAGGAAAGGCTCTTGTGGTTCCCCCGTTCAGTTGGACGCGGTGCCCGTTTGCATGACGGACGAAGGGGGGCTCTGTGCCACAGTAATGAGAAGCCAAGTTGGAGGGTGTCACTGCAACTGGGACCGACCGTGACTGTGAGTCTGTGACCGAGACTGTGGTCCTTTCGTCGGCTTGTAGCCCCCGAATCTGAATGAAAGACTCTTTTTTGAGAGCTGCTCATGGTGCTTCGAGTTTGTTTTGTAGCTGAAGTCAAAGTCCATCGCATAGAGCCACATCTCACTGCTATGGCGAGGTATACGGCCCCAATCATCCCATATAAAGACGCCACTGGGCTGTTTGTTGGACTGAGATGATGTGGTCAAGCTGAGTGAGAGGGGATGGCTCTAGGTCGAGGTAGAGGTACCTAGGCTAGGTCTATGATGGCGTAAAATTGGTAGTGGAGAAAAGATGACGAGACTTTGTTGGGTTAACAGAGGTACGACCCCCTTCCCCCGGCACGTGTCCACCAGGGCCCGGAGATGCAGCAAGAAGTTACCTAGCGAGCCAATCTGGAGGACAGATCTGTGAGCACTCCTGCTAGATGGCCGTCGATGAGATCCATCATGGATTGTTGCCTGCTGCCGAATTACGAGGGAGAAAGGTCAAGCCAAGGGCCCCATCTGCCCCATCTTCGCTGACCTGTCTCTTTCTGTCTCCTGCTGAGGGGTTACATGTTCCTCCTTTTTCTTTCTTTTTCTTTTTCTGTGCTGCTCCTGCTCCAAATGGTCGACACAATGAGCGGGCGGTCAATCCCTTTTGGCTGCAAAGGGGAAAGAGCGTTGAGGGAGGAGGAGGTTCGAGGGGCGATCCCTTCATCTAGAGGTATCTGCCCTGGTCACATCCATCCCATTCTCACCGAGCTGGGGAAAGAACTCCTTCCCGATGATACACTACGCTAGACGAGGTAGGTAAGACCGGGGCTCGGGGACAAGAGGTCCAGTCTCAGTTAAAGTTTGCTCAGCGTTGCACTCCAGCACTCACCCGCATTTCACTAGCGTATTGCACTTGCCAGCCCTGGGGAGCCCAGGCATCCAGGGTACCTCTAGGCACAAGCTTGCGCTCGCAATGGAAGACATTCCCGTCGACAGGGAAAGGAAAGATTCCCCGGTACCCACTTTTGTTTAAGGCTGTCCGCCGGGGCCTGTGATCCCCGCTGTTACAGTAAGAAATTGGCGGATACGGAGAGGTAGAGGTACTGTAGTGGACGGGCTGCAGTTTGCTACCTACCGTGACCTCTACCAAGAGAACCTGAATCCCCTCATCTCACTGTACTGCAGGGCACTCGGGCTTTGCTCCGTCCAGTATTGGTGCCCTGTCTGACCCCGCCCTTTTTTTTCTCTCTTTTATTTTTTTTTTTTAAATTTTTTTTTGTTGGTGTTGTCGTTTCCATTTCCTCTTTCCCAAGGTAGGGGCAACTTTGACCAGTCCTTACGATCCAACCCAATCCAATGCACGATACGTACCTAATTCATTGGATGTTCCTCGGCATCCGGGAATTTCATGACCCGTCCGGGCATTCTTCAACTCCACCTTCCGTCAATGGCCGATACTGACTTCATGATCGGGAAGGCATCATTACATTAGCCTGCCGCCATGGGCAACATTCAACCATTCATCAGCCACTTTCTCGTCGCCGGTCTCGTCGTGCATACTATCGTACCCTACAACACTGCTATACACCCCCAAGTTTCAGTCAAGGGGCATGGGGGGTGGATAATGGCGCAGGAAAACACCCCAGAAACGAACCCGGTCACAGAGGCCCTGTCAGGCACACGCACTGATACACACACACACACACACACACACACACAAATAGGTCCAGCCTACCTAGGTGCGTGGGATTTCCAGACTGCTGGTCCCTATCTAGACCTCTACCCGTATGCAACAGTGGTATCACCCTCTTCTTTTCCACATTATTCAAGCCACATTCGACCGACATCCGTCACGTCAACGACAGACTTGTGAATAAACTCCCGCCCCCGACGACTACAATCTTGCCAATACGTGGTGGCCACGCCATGGACCGAAGGACTCGGTGAAGAGGCCCTCGTTGCTTTTGTCCAGAGCGCCTTCTTTCTCGACAACAACAGCAGCTTGCGCTTTTACGTACCCTGGGCCCTGGTCTCTCACGACAAGAAGGCTAGAAAACGAGGCAATCAAGTCTAGTCCTGGGAGTCCGGGTCCGGTGCTTCTAGCCAACATGCGCGCGAGTGGCTGTAGTGGGTCAGTTTGGACGACAATGGACACCTCCTCTACATAGCATATCTGTCGCCTTTATTGCCTTGTTGCTCTCGTGGTCATCAGTCGGCGTCGTCACCCCACGATCCAGCCACGGGCACCCATCTGCAACTACCATCTTCTGTCTTCATCTCATCACGAAATGAAGCTGCAGTTTACCAGTACTTACACTGGCCAAAAAGCCGTCATCCGACTCTTGCTGTGACATAACAGGTTCCGGTTTGCCGATCCGCCGGCTGCATCAGCCAGCCAGCGGGACCTCAGTATCTGCCCTCAACCCAACTGCGTCCGTCTCGCCAAGCATCATGGTATGGTCCGCGGGCTTCCTTGGGGGTTGTCATTGCGGTGCAGTAGATATGCACCTCCGAAACGCCTGTCAGCACCAACACGAATCACTGGCGGCGATGTGCACAGGGGTGCTGTTGACTTTGAAGCGGCTCGATATGGTTCGCTTCAGATACGACTCCGATTCCCGGTTTCTCATCCACCCCCCGGAAACTCGACGAGCATAACAGGGGGCAATTTGACGAGTCAGATTGCCACTCCAATATGGCTGATTCCAAGTCGCTTCTTTGCAGACGTTACGGCGTGTGGTGTAAGACGAATACGCTCTTCCGTGGCATACACATCGAAGCCCGGTCATCTTCCTGCTTCTGTCTTGCAATCCCGAACAAAAGGAGTGATTTATGTCGCAATTTCTCCCCGCGGCATAGGGATTTGTCCCGACGAACTTCACCTCGGATCTAGAGCTTCACAAGCTTAGACGAGGTCAGTGACGGCGAGATAAAAGAACTTTACTCAGCCACCTACGTTCTGAGACAGCCCTATGCCGAAAGAGCCATGTTTATGCGAGTAGTTGAATATCCTACCCTTAACGTGCAGGACTCGGCGGAGCCAAGCGAATAAGGGGTGCCCCATCACGCCGATCTATATACTGTGTATGACTGATCTACACTGTACTGCCATATTCCCTGTTGATGCAACTAATTCTGGCAGCCAGATTTCTTTGCAAAAGGGGGGGTTGGCATTAACATGTGTAGTTGCATCGAATCCAGAGAGCTTATTTGGCGAACCACGGATTCCGTTGTCTGGGTTGCAACTCGGCGCCGAGATTGGTGGATGAAAGACAATTACTACAGAAATAAATCCCATCAGTCGCGGCACGTCTTACGCAACCGCTCCCCAGATTATTTGGTCTTTGGCAGACGACGACAAGTGTGAGCTTGATCGTCCCGTATCTGGTTGCCGGTAACATTACGACATAACCACCCTAATTGCATATCGCTAGCCTGAGGGAGGCCAGTGAAAGCACTCGAGGCTCTCTCGGACATTCATTCACGGCAGTGTCCAAAGGTTTTTTTTATTTTTTAAAAAGTTTTTGTTTCCATCTTTTCAACACACCCTTAAACGCCTGCTAGCGTTGAAGATACCGGTTTGACACGGATTTGTTTTTCTTCGTATCCTCATTACATGGCATAGACTAACAATCGCTAGCTAGATACACAGTACACTAAGAATACAGGCCCACTCCGCCGTCCGATTGACGACAGTCCAGCCCTGGGAAGGCAAGCTCCGCGCAAAATCCTCGTGTCCCCCGCGCCAGGAAACCGTTGGTCTTGCCAACCGTTAACTAGCGAGGGTTGACCTAAATCAAGCGACGCTATAAAAGGCAAGACATCGCTGATATTCATCACATCTCATGAACCGGACTTTCGGGATTACAGCCTAGTCCTCTCGCAGGGCTCTTGTCTTGGAGTGAGACCCTGAGGTGTCGGGGGTCAAAGAACAGACAAGACATTCACGACCCATAAATGCGGATAGGCTACATCAAGATCCATGCTATGCGTATCTGGTGGATAGAACAGCTCTAGCCACCTTGCCTTCAGAAGGAAGCCGAGCAGCATTCCCCGCAGTTCTGACTGATGTTGCCCCTGGCCCCCATTCCATATCATCACTCGCCTGCAGTCTATGAGCAATGCTCATCTCGGAAGTTGTTTTTTTTTTTTTTTTTTTTTTTTTTGCGCGGATGCTTCGGTAATTTTCAAAGGGCCATGGCCTCGTCCTTGCATTACAGACCGCCTTGAGGTCCAGAGATGGGTTATGGCCAAGGTTGTAATGCGTTTCCAAATCGTTTCTTTTTTCTGTCGAAAACATTTCGAAGCATGTCTCACTCGCCAACTGGATCACAGCATCGAGGAATCTGTTACATCAATCGGACTCAGTGGTAACCAGAGAGTCTTTTTTTCATGTGGAAAACGAGAAAAAAGCAGGCAGCAGCGCCTTCTAGACTGCCGCTTTGGTCCATTTTCTCACCAAAAATCTGACGCTGTTGGTTCGCTTGGTGTTTGAACGCAATAGGCAAGGACCAAGCTCCCAAGATCCTGCCAAGAAGTGGTGATGCGGTCAAGGAACCAACACATCACAAAACATACCTCTAGTGTAAATGATATCGCGCCGAACAGTTTCCTGGGCTTGTACGACAACGAAAAGGCAAATGGGAAGCTACGCTCAGGAGGCCACGCATTCTTTCAAGACTACAATGATCATGTACACAATCTTGGATGATTTCTGATGATCTATCTCGAAGTTACGTATTGGAAATGACAGCCCCATATCTACTTTACTTTCTCGACTCGACAATTCATTTTATAGTGACCTCTCATTATCCGCAATTCGCCAATCTACCTAGTAGACTCAGCAGCTCCGTCTTATAGCCATAGACCCACCAGATGAGCCGAACGGGATCAACGCCCAAAAAAGGACCACATGACTTCTTGCTCAACCATCATCATATCACACTAAACACTATTTTCCTGGCCTCGCATTACTCCAGCAATGTCCGTGGACGGATGGCACGTTACTTTCTTCTTACATGGGCATTCCTTCCACACATCTACCGCTAAGGGTTCGAGTGTAGCGAATCCGGGGTAAGCTCCATCCGGATAGGCAAAGTACCTTGAGACAACAAAAGAGGTAGGGCAGCAAGCGGGGGTAAAGGGAAAGCTTGTCTGGCCGATAAATAAGAGGTATATCATTTTGTGAAGGGGTTTAGTTGTCCAGAAAACCCGGATAAACTCTCTCGGCTCCAGACTTTCTCGATGATCACACCCCTTTCTATTTGATATGTGTTCTCTACCGGTTCACTGAACTATCAAATCGTTTATAGACAGCCATAGGAACATCAGGCCACGCCATAGTACTACTGCATATCTTCTTTCAACATCTCATATGCACATAATAGAGGCCGAAGAGGCTGCATAGGCTATAAACAGGGCGAAAGAAGCATGGCTACTTATGTTTATTTACTTTCATGGTTTCACACGGCGAGCAATATACTGCGCAAGAGACGAGAATGAAATGAAGGTCCTTGAAACCCCGGGTTCTTGGGAAGGTACCTCTAGCGTACATACGTAGGTAGGGATGGGGCAACCTGAGTCTAGACAGGGTCCGTACAACCAACACGGAGATAGGGACAATACCCGAACACACACTCCAGACCAATGTGCCGCGGTATTGAGTTATACGTGCGCTGCAGTCAGGTCCGTGTTGCGAGTTTTCCCGGAGTCGCTTCTTCGGTTGCGAATCAGCGACGCATGCGACTTCGCGGAGAATAGGTAGGCATGTTTCATATAAACTTTGAGCTATGCCATGCTTCCCGTCACTTGATATATAGGTAGGTCCTAACGAAGTCCAACCGAACCAGAACCTTTGTGGTCATCCAGTTTTCCTTACACTACTTACGATCATCGGTCGTCCAGAGTTATTTGGCCTTCAAGTTACCTCTATACAAGACGGGAAGTAGGTACATAATTTACAGTCCATCATTTACTACTTTCATTCTTCCAAGATTCGAGAAAACCCGTACAAAACAACATGACAGGCGGGATGGAGAACGTGTTTAGACTTTGATTGTGTTATATATCAATCCAATCACCCACTGACACTGCGCCAACAGGCACTCACGGATCAAGGATACGTACCTCCTTTCCGTTCTAGGTATGTTTCAGGTCTCTATGTCCCGTGTCCTACCTGGCTGGCATAGCCGGTGGCTTGTCTATAGGAGAATCCAGACTACCTAAGAACTCTGAGTGAGATCTGAGCAGACAGACAGACCGACAGCACGACAGACAGACCGACAGCACGACAGACAGACCGACAGCACGACAGACAGACCGACAGCACGACAGACAGACCGACAGCACGACAGACAGACCGACAGCACGACAGACAGACCGACAGCACAACAGACGGGGCTCTCCAATCCATCGTGTGAAAGATGGGACCGACTGAACTGTTTTTGAAACGCAGTAACCCTAAGCCAAAGGCGAGATTTTGCAACGTTACCACCTACCTCACTCAGAATGCTGGCTGGATGGCTACATGTACATACCTCTAGATCTACACCTGATCATGGCCTCCTCCGTGCCTAGGAGTACCTTCGACCAAGTAGGCGGATAGATACCGAGCATGACGACCAGACGGTGATAAAAAGCACATGTCCCTGGCGGTATGCCTGAGTTCACTCATCTCAAAATACTTGTGGGTGATGCTCCTATAAACCCAAGTAATGGTTTTAGCAGAGGAGGGAGGAGTTGACTCTCTCGTTTGAGAAAGAGACGAGGAAGAAAACAAGGACTGCCGGGAGTCTTGTTTAGGGCGTCAAATCTCGGCGAGCCAGGTTCGCACAAGTCGTGACAGTGTGTTTGACACTTGCAGGAATATAAACGATCGGAAAGTCCGCAACATCAGTTGTGTTGGTGGGCAAAGATAGAGGTAGCTCGTGCGCTTCCGCCCTTTTTCTTGTCATCAAGAGCTTGTCTTCAACTGACGACCAAGACACTCAGTAACCCAAGGCTTCAAAATGATAAATTTCCAGTGACAATTCACGGGTAACATAACGACTGGCAGAAAATTATAATAATACCTTATCATGCGCCTGACTAAATGTACTAAACAAGCATGATACCTAACTGTAGTAGATAGGGCCGTGTTCTTGGCTTCCTATGTATAGTGTGGTTGAAATAAACAAAAGAGTTTCATCATCAACAGATAGAATCCGACGATGATGTACACTACCTAGGTCTATGACGATCCCTCAGATATTCTCTTTTTATGCTTGAAAGCATTCATGACTTAAGCAAGGAAACCTAAAGATTGAACGGATAATATTGAAAGCTGAGCTACTAGTTCCAAAAGCATTCTCTTGCTTGATATATACGGGAGTAATCCAACGTTCAGTTACTGGACCAAGAGTGAACAAAGAGATCAGATGGGAAAGGAAACGACGGGGAAGGTTTTGTAACGGGAGATTGTAACTAGCCAGCCAGCAGCCCACAATCAGACTAGAATTTTTACAAATGGAAGGAGAGAATGAAGGAGCCAAAAGAAAGAAAGGTAAGAAAAAATAGATAAATGAATCTGACGATGCCATAAAAGTTAGCATTGAATGGACTCGAATTAAGTCCAAAAAAAGAAAAGATTGGTCTCTCCCGCCGGGAATTGAACCCGGGTCTCGAGCGAATCGAACTGATGTTCAAGCTTGACAAGCTCACATACTGACCACTATACTACGGAAGATGTACAACTGTTGCTCAGCTGTCGTAGTTGGTTGTTGGAAGATGGGGTTAGCTGTGACGCTATATATGCAATAAGCATTACTACATCGTAAGAATAACCCCGAACTTCAAATCATCGTTTGCAACCACATTGTAACGACATTATCTATCATACCGACAGGTTTTCGTTTTCAAAACACTTCAACAGACAAGAAGAAAAAAAACCAGTAAATGAGCCTGCACTTTCTAGGAGCTTGATATACTTCTCGCTTCGTTGCGCTTTTCAAGAATTATACGATGTACTTTCAAAGACACACACTTAAAGCGAGAGCGAACAGCGAGCAGTGACGTGAACAACTGGACCACTCTTTTCAACGACAAGATAACGCATCAAAGCGCATATCCGCACGATAACTCAAACACCATACTTGAAAAAAAAGAGACAAGATACCATATACAGCCTGCCTTACCACCACCCTCTCCCTTTCTTACTCCTCCTTCTCCTCCTCCTTCTCCTACTCATCCCATCATCCCCGTCACACCTCATGCCATACACCACTCTCACCACTCACTTCCCACTAACCTGTCCCTCGACGAAATTCAACGCATCCTCCGTCGGCACACAATCAATCGTACTCGTCTTATTATGGAACGTAACGCCATAGCACTTATCAGCCACCAGGACGATTTCCGGCCGAAACGTGGTGCAGATGAACTGGGTCTTCTGCGTCTTGGAGATGGAGTCCAGCAGCGCGGCGACGGCAGTGCGGTACTGCGCGTCCAGGTTGGCGTCGACCTCGTCGAAGATGACAAAGGGGGAGGATTCGGCGGCCTGGAGGGCGAAGATGAGGCAGAGGGCGCAGAGACCTGGTGATAACTCGGTGTTTAGTATGGATGGGTGGGTGGGTGGGGAGGAATATGGAAAAGGGGGATGAGAGAAAGGGGGAAAGGGGGGAAAGGTAAGGAAGGGAAAGAGAAAAAAAAAACATACTCTTCTGTCCACCACTGAGTTGCTGAATCTTTTGCTGCTCATCCATAACCTTGGAGTTGAAGCTGACGCTGATGCCCACACCGCTGTAGGACTCGACGCCCTTAGCGGAGGAAGGGCCATCTTCGTCCGAGTCCTCTGGATTGCGGTTCTTGCTGCCGGCAGCCTTGCGCTGTATGACCAGACGGCCGTGGCCGGCAGGCACAAGCTTCTCGAAGATGGTGGAGAACTCTCTAGACACCTGCTTGAACGTCCGCTCAATGGCCTCGTCCTTGGCGTGATCGAGATGCTGAATGAGCTCCTCAATCGACTTCTGCGAGGTGTCGAGCTCCTTGCGACGCTTCAGGAGCTGCTCGCGCTGGGTTGTGAAGTTGTTGTATTGGTCAAAGGCTTTCTTGTTGATGTGCTTGTACTTCTTGAGAGCCTCATTGACCTTGCGCAGTCTTGTTTCAATCTGTTTTTTTCTAGTTAGTATGTAGATAAAGCAAATATTGATTGACTAAGGATGATAACTTGCCTGCTCAGACTTCATCTTCTCATACTTGCCAAAGGCTTCCTCAGGCAAAATACCAAGATCACGAATGTTCTTGGCATACTCAGCCGCCTGTTGGAGCAGACGAGCCTTGGTCTGAGAGTTCTTCTCCAACTTCTTTTGATACTGATCGATCCGCTTCTGGAGCTCTTGTTGTTCCTGCTCCTTTTGCGCCTTGTGGGCCTCTAGCTCGGCAATTTCGGCGGCGATGCCCTCCGTCTTCTCCTCGTTCTCCTGCAGTTGCCTGTCGACCTCAGCAGCAGCCTTCTTAAGCTTCTTGAGTTCCTTCTGAGCGTCCTTAAAGCTCCCGCTTCCACCAGTAGCGGAGTTCTCAAAGGCTTGGCTGCGCAGCTGATCCTCCTGCGGCCTGAGATGTGCCCGAAGTTCCGTCTCCAGTGACTTCTTGCGGCCTTCCAGCTCCAGACGCTTCTTGCTGATTTCCTTCAACTGCATCTGCAGGCGGTGCTCTTCGGCACCGAACTCCTCGAGCTGGCGCTCCTCGGCGGCTGATAGCGCCTTCTTGAACTCGGAAGCCATTTCGGCCCGGTATGCTGTGAGGTTCTCGTCAAACTCCTTCAGGTTCTTCTCGATGGCCGCCCAGCGCATCTTGGCGTCTTCAAGATGTCGCCGCTCGCGCTCCAACTGAAGCTGTTTCGTCCGCAAGTCGACCTTCAGGGGATCGAAACCTGACTCGAACTGGCGCAATTGTTGATCGAGCTTACGTTCCTCGCCATTAGCGCTCGTGATCTTTTGCTCCAGAATCTCATCTTCCTTCTTGATCCTGTCCAAGTCTTCCAGCTGTTGCTCGTAAAGTTCCCGAAGCTCTTCGAGTCTCCGGACCGCCTCCAACCGTGATCGGCGAGCATCAACAAAGCCACCGGTCATGGCACCCCGCTTGTTGGTTGTATCACCTTCGGGGGTGATGGCATCTACACCGTGTGTGCGTGCATACTGAGAGGCTATCGACAAGTTAGGGCAGACAATCGTGCGCCCAAAGACCTGCTGGAATGCCTTTTCGTATATCGGGTCAAACTCAATTTTGTTGATAAGTGGCTGGGCGTCCGAGGCCCTTGGCATCTTCACCTGCCTTGGCCGTAGTTGCTCAAGCGGCATAAATGTGACACGACCGCCATAGCTCTTGTGGAGATACTCGGACAGCATGGTGCCCGTTTTTTCGTTGTCGACGACATAGTGGAAAAGGCTGTTACCCGCCACCTGTTCGACCGGCAACCTGTAAGCGTCTACTGGCACGTTCATAAGCTCTGCCAGAGTACCATAGGCACCGGGAATATCCCGCTCTCTCTTGAGGCGTCTGATCGCTGCTAGACCCCTTGCTGTCGCCGAATCCATGGCATGTGAGAGGTCCGCCTCCGCGTTGTCTCTATCTGCACGGGTATTCGCAAGCAAAGAACTGAGCTTGTCCTCCTCACGACGCAGTCTCTTTCGCTCTTCGTACAAGTGTTCCCTGGCCTCCTGAGCCTTGGTCAGCTTCTCGGCGATTGATGACCGGTCCTCACCGTATCCTTCGAGCCTGTCACGGATGTTTTGGATCTCCTTCTCTAGTTGCTTGATCGAGTTCTCGACCAGCGTAACCTGTTCCTTCGCATCCATCTCATTGGCCCGCTGGTTCGCAAGCTGCATGGTCGTCTCCTCGATCTCGCTCTTCAGGAAAGCATCGCGCTCGGCCTTTGTCCTGAACTGGGAGCTTCGCGTCTGCTTCGTCAGCAACCTGGTACGACCAGTGGCCGCCAGATCCCTTGCGGCCGCCAATTCTTCCTCCTCCTTCTTCCATTTCTCGTAGTCTGGTGTGATTTTGGCAAGCTCTGACTCGGCAGCCTGGATCCTTCGCCTGACCTCGTTCAGCTCCGCTTCCTGTTGCTGCTGGGCCTTCTCGCGCGAATGTCGTGTCTCGTCGAGATCCTTCAGCTTCAGCTCTGCCTTTGCCTGCGAACGCGCGGTGTCTTTCCTGTCCTCATCCAACTGGCGCCGTTCGATGGCCAGGAGCTCAAGAGTCTGCTTCAGCTCCTGGAACTTGTGGTCGAGGGCAGCAATTTCCTTTTCCGTTTTCTGGAGTTGGACCCGGTCCTTGGTCGTTGCGCCAGCACCTCCCTGCCTCACCTCTTCGATCTGCTCCAGAGTGTTGTTGTTGGTCTCCTGTAGGCGGTGCCAGTGGGCGTACTCGAGACACCTGCGTTCGCGGTCCTTTTCTTGGAAGTCGCGGAGTTCGTCCTTCTCCTCCTCCAGTTCACTAAGACGCTCCTTGATGTACTCGAGCAACTCGTCGATCTTCTCGCGCTTGCTATTTGTCTCGGCCATAATCTTCAGAGACTGTATGCGCCTGTCGTCGTAAAGGTTGGTACCGGCAATTTCCTTGAGCAGGTTGAGTCTTTCGTTCTCCTTCATGTTGGTGATGGCTGCGACACGACCTTGGGGAACGATGTAGAAGGGGTTTTCCTTGGCGAAGCCGGCCGTTTCCAGAATCTTGAGGACATCGGCACGAGTCTGCACCTTCTTGTCGACTGAATATTCGTCCTTCTTGAGACCGATCGTCCTCCTGATAACGACCTCGTCGCCGGGTTCGCTGAAACGCTTATCGGTGTTGTCGAAGATGATCTCGACGTATGCTGACATGACGGCCGAGCCCGAACCCTCGTGAAGCAGGGCCTGGCGCTCTTCGCGACTCATGTTGGTGTAGGCATCGCTGAGGACGAATCGGATGGCGGCGAAGAAGTTACTCTTGCCTGAACCGTTGCGACCAACAATAACATTGGTACCGGGGGAAAAGGGTTCGATTACGGTTTGCTCCTTGTAGCTGGTCGTGGAAGTGTCAAAAGTCAGCACCGGCTTCAACCTGGTTGCATGCGCCAGGCGCGCGCCACACCCAAAACGATGGACTGATGTTGACGTAGAACCATAGTAGACAAGCATGCGACGCACCTTTTGAAGCCCTGGATAATAATCTGTTTGATATGCATGGTTGCGGATTTGTCGTCGTCAACTGGACGACAGCGCGGCGGCAGCTACTTTGATGTTGGAAGAGACGCTGAAGTGGGATGGAATATAGACCAATGGGAATACAACAATAGACTAGCTAGTAGACTATGTAGACAGCTGCGCGCATCACTCTGCGCAACAAGGGTAAGGTACAGAGTTCAGGTCGAGAGCTCGGAGGTCAAGAGTGGGAATCGGATCGTCTCTATTTGCATCGTTTGGTTCGCATCCATCGGTCGCGGGGCGCGAAAGGGCGTCGTCGTTGAGAATGCCGGAGTCGTCGACCCTTTCCAATTGTCGCGATGTGGGAGGAAACTATGATTGATCAAGTTTCGGTTCTGGACACAATTCACACCTCACACGAGCGCGAATATGGAAAGACCTGGGACGGGGGCGTGTTGGCCGCTGGCGGGTGACAATACCGAAGAACTTCCGTTATGAACATAATGTACCTAATTCGCACTTTCAACGCGTCTCGCCGGGCGGTTCCCCTGTCGCGCGCTCTCCCCTCTCGCAGGGGATTTCCACTTCTCTCCCGCAGGCAAGCACCGACAGCGGGCGGCACCAGGGCCAGAGTCGCAGCGAGTGAGCTGAGCTCTCCAAAAGGCGCTCGGGCCATTGTGACTATGGCGCTAGAATAAAGCGCCTAGACCCATCACGTGCTCTGACCAAGCAGCAGGCTGGGTTCCCAAAGCAGCTTGTGATGGATTCGGTGACATGGTGAAACGTAGGAAGGATGACGGGAGGGAACTGAAGCAAAAAGCTCTTTCAAGATTCAAAGCCTCCGTTTGCGCGACGTGGCTTGGTAGCTTTACGTGATAGGCTTTCAAAATACACAGAACTGTCATCGGAATCGAAGCACAAGACAGTCCACGAACTGGGGTGATTGGGACTGTTGAGCCTCGAGCCATGTGTGTATTTCAGCTTCCAGTTCAGTTGCCAGTGTCGCGACAGACGCGTGGCAGATTGGCAGTAGCTGCATCCGTCAGAGCCCCTAGTGCGCTTGATGCTACAGTACCTACTGTCTCGGCTTGTGATGATGGAGCAGTAGCAACACCACAAAATCAACACCACGATAAATTGCTGTACATGCTGGATCCCATACAGCTTGTGTAGATGGTGCCAAGTTCCAATATAAGGCGATAGAGACAGGAGAACCAAGGACATGCACATGTTCACACCTGATGTAGTTGATATCTGGGACCTAGTCTGGGTTGCTCCTCCAACGCCCGGCGAGTTTATTTGTTGTCTCCATCTAGTGTACGACATATTCGGAACAAGTGTCCGTTTTCCGCCCTCCATTCTCAGGACAACCAATCGTCATTTTCGTGAATGGAGACATCCAACGTCCCGCATTTTCTCGTCTGGAGTTGGGGTTCCAACAGAGACTGACGAGAAAAATCTGTTCGAGGCTTTCGACTCTCTCTGGTGGCTCTCGCCTGGGACCGAAATGGTGCCCGAATGGGGAGCAGCAAGGGACCCCAGACTTTGAAATGATCAGTGGACGTTCCCACGCCCCACTTGACGGGAACCTAATTGTTTTTAGCTTGCTCCACTGTCCCTGCGGTGCGGCAACCTCACAAAGACCTCATAGTAACCGCCAATGTGCCCTGGATGCTGCCTTTCTCGACAGGTCGAGTTTGTCAGTAATCTATTCGAGAACCGTCTGGTTCTAGACGGATACTCTCAACATCGCTAAAAAGGGGAAGGGAGCAAGTCGTTGTTGATCTTGAATGGCTCCTGTGTCGCAGATCCCGCGTCGAGATTGTCCGTGATTACATACTACCTGTACGTACACACCTTGTGCCGTTCGACCAGTACACGCGTATAAACCTGCATCGAAATGTCTGACTTCAACCTCTTTTTGGACATACAAGGCAATGCGTTGAGATTGCCATCGCCAAACAACCTTTGTTACAAACTCTACAAGCCATCAGGTGTGCCCTCGTTACCGCTCTGCAATTTGAGGATGCTTCCTGAATACCTTGGTGTTGGTCACAAGATGGCGGCGACGGCGGCAACATCCGAACTGAATGCATGACGGGCGAGACAGTCACCAACAAGGGCACAGTACCGAGATATCCCCAATCATACGGCTGTCGTGACTTCGGAGTCTCACAGCAAGAAGCCAGCCGAAGCCTCTCTTTGATACGGATCAGGCACACGCTTGACAGATGATGGGCCATGGGGTGCGTCGCCAGCTTGCTTATGCTGCACTACCGTGTACCGCATCATGGCTTCTTTTTCGTTCTGCGCCGCGCCATGACAGCTAGACAGACTTTTCCTCGCAATAATAAGGTTGTGCACATTTTCGAGTATCGACAACAGACTGTCGACGCGGATAGATAGATGATCTTGTTTCCATGGCTTCCCCACGAACAGTGACTGTACGAACTGGAGTGCTCACATTTGATATCGTGACCCTGCACAGGACAGTAACAAAACCGCAAAGTGACGGGTCGAGCCGACCCGGGGGCCTGGGTTTATATATTTATACCTACCACTACGTAGGTTGCTCTGCAGCTGACCCAAGCCGAGACCGAGACGAGCCCAGTCCTGGATGCGCGGGGAAAGCAAAAGGCTCACCAGCACTTGACTGCTTACTCCGTGGACAAAGGTCGGCTTTCTCGGGAAAGGTGAGGTCAAGACAGTTATCGGGAGTCGTATATCAAGCCCAGGTCCGGAAACGGATGGGAGGTCGAGGGCCGGAGTACTTCCGAATGCAAACAAAAGTGTACGACTTCCGATATGTGACTGGACCGAGCGGGAGTTTTGGAAGACATCCACTCCGGCTGTAGAGGTAAGTAGGCGTGCCCAGGCCTCGGACCGTGATGGCGGAGTGATCACTTAGGTAGGCTAGACGTAGGCCCTAGATCTCCTGTGTTTTGCAGTGCAGCCTTTCTGCCGGCTATTCGTCATTGGGTCGCACTGGGCTTTATCCCGAAGAGTTAAGGCAGGCAGGCAAGCACGCATCTCCGTCATCCGACTTGACTCCAAGTCCATTCAGCTGGTGAGGTTTGCCAATAGGTGAGATGGTGGAATTCCAGCAACGACTTATAGAATCCTACTGTTAGCATAGTAAATGGATGGACTGGGCAGACGTGTGAGGAAATGAAAGGGAAAAGGGAAAAGAACCAAAAGTCAAGTTCGAGAATGCAAAAGCCCTTTCAAGTTTCAACCGTGCACCACGGCCAAACATGGCCAGGGCCACAGGGCAAAGCTCAGGGCAAAACGTGATGAAGCTCAAAGCAAAAGCACTCCTTCCTTCTTGACTGGAGAAACGAACTGGGGCGTGAGGACGGACAGCCAATCAGGGGCCGCGGTGGGCTGCACTTGACTGGGGGCGATGAGGTGCAATTGGGGAGGCGCATGGATGGCAGGGGTACAATGGGCGGACGTGGATCGCGCTAAAATTTGAGAAGGGAGGAACGTTGGGAAGTGCCGGCTTGTCTATAAATTTACTAACCAATATTCTTTATAGACAGGCCGCTGCCCTCCAACCGAACCTCCCACTGCCCGCCATCGCCCATCCGACGCCCTACTACAACAACCTGCGCCCTGCTGCCCTGCTGCCCGCGCGTGCACGACCCGACCGACGTCTCTTACCTACTCCAACCAACCACCAATCCGGGCGACACCGTGACTGAACAGAACAGGCACAAGCACAGCACCTGAGAGAGGCAGCGCACACTGCAAATTGCCTGCCTGCCTGCCCTTCAACGTCACCACTTCCGATACTTGGCTACCTACTTGCTTTTTTTTTTTTATTTCAAGGCGACAAGACCGGGAGTTGACCGCCTGGTCCAGACCCCTCCATACATATTATTTCGATAACTCCCCCGCCAAAATTCCACGGACCACACGGACCACACGGACCATCCTAGGCGGCCGCTAGTAGTCACCGTTGCACCGTGTGTGTTCTTCCAGTTGTGTGGTGTGTGTGTGTGTGTGTTTGTCTAGCGCAAGGTACCGGCGACCTTGGTTGGCTTGCATACCAAAGAGACTTCCTTTGGCTGTACGGGGACACCACCACCACACCTTGCTCACCTTGAGCCATTCATTGGACGGTGAGTCTTGACCTTGATATTTCATTCTTTCATCCCACATATCATCTCATCACCACCACCACTGTCATCTCTCTTCTACCTTTGCTTTCTCGCAGAAGCAAGTGTTGTTATTGTTACTGGCCCCTTCAACACACTGCCTGGCTTGAGTCATGCCATCCAATTCCCTTCCTTCTTTGCACTTCTCACACTGCCCATCCTGTCATTCTGTTTGCTTCTTTCGCGATGACCATGGACCATCACACAAAATGCGTCAACTATGGGATCAGATCCAGCAATGTGACGCAAATGGCTAAAACCTGATATTACCTAGACCTTCTGGTAGAAACTTCTTTTTCTTCTCTCAACCCCACCACCACAGCCGCCCACATCACATACAAGAGAGTGAACCTTGTGTGTGTATTTGGGACTACAGCTTTGCCATATCTGTGGATCTACCCAAGGTATGTTCACATACCGTACACCTTACACCTCATCACATTTTTGCCTCACTCCTCCTGTAACATCACTTGAGTTCAGGAACCAGTGTTCTGTAAACCTCATTATCACCCAAGGTCTTTGAGCGTTGTCTGTATCGAGGTTCATTATCGAGTGGACTGCATCTGCCCTAACCCTCTCAAGTCACCTCTCGGGTCTTGGCAGGGGGTTCACCTCGTCAACATCTCTTGTTGTTTTGTTGTCGTTCTTGTTCCACTACCCCTGATTGTTCTCCTCCCCCTCACCCCTTGCCTCGTCTTTCAACTCTCCTTGCACACTTCAAGAAAACCTCCAAATCTGCTCCGCCATCCCAAGATTAGACAAAGCTGGAAGGGTATAATACTAACTATCTTGCAGTGCCATGGCCATTACCCCTTATTAATCACATTAACACAGTCTACTGACATGAACAAGAGATGGCGTCTCGGCTAGATCGCCTTGTCACGTAAGTACTCTGTACTTTCTGGAGGTTTGTGTTTTTTTCCCCCGGACACTTGACTAACAATTTCCACGTGTAGGCTCATCGAGACGGGCAGTACTCGCCTGATTCGGGATGCTGCCGTAGATCAGCTCGCCACATGGCAAAAGGAACACCCCGATGAGCTTTTCAATCTACTCTCTCGGGTTGTCCCCTACTTGCGCCACAAAGACTGGGAAACCAGATCAACTGCTGCCAAGGCTATAGGCAAAATCATCGAAAATGCACCGCAGTATGACCCCAATGCCGACGAGGAACCCGACGCGGTGATGAAAGATGATGATAGCAATGGCTTCATCAAGAAAGAAGAGGGCCCCCCAAAGCTCTCCCTTAGTGAGGAGGAGCAGTTCAGTCTTAGGACTCTGGACGTTATCAACATTCTCAAGTACGGAAGGTCCTTGCTCAGAATTGGCGACAAAAGTGATTGGGGCCTTGCAGCTCTCGATCCACAGAGTCGGCTGAACCATCAGAAAAGAACGCTCAATGGCCGTCTGGGTCTCCTTGGACGTGAGTTTAAGGATGAAGAGATACCTGTCATTAACGACGCCATCCTCAGCCCTGCAACCCCTCTCGATCCAGCTGCAGCTAATGGCTTCGGCCGTCATGACAGTGTCGGTTCCGCCCAAACTCAGAACGGTGAGACGGCCGGGCTTAGTGCACGACAGCTCAATGTTCTCAAGCGAAAGCGGAAGAAGGAGGCTCAGAAGGCTGCTCAGGGCAAGAGCGGCTTCGGTGACCTCTCTTTGCGCCGAAACACAACCGCCGGCTCTGAGGGCTTTGATGACACGCCGATGGTGGATGCCGACTCCAAGGGCGGCAAGATGAATGACTATTTCAGCCTCGATAGGCCCGCTGATATCGAAGAGGACACTAAGGTTGTCAGCGAATACAAGGGGCCCATTATCCCCATCAAGTCCGAGATTGAGGCCGACGACAACTTGGAAGGGGTTGAATGGCCATACGAACGTCTCTGCGATTTCCTCAAGGTCGACCTGTTTGATCCTCAGTGGGAAACTCGTCATGGCGCTGCCATGGGCTTGCGCGAGGTAATCAGGGTCCATGGCGCTGGCGCGGGAAGATTGATGGCCAAGTCTCGATCAGAGAACAACGAGCTCAATCGGAAGTGGCTGGACGACCTCGCTTGTCGCCTATGCTGCGTTTTGATGCTGGACAGGTTCACAGATTATAGTTCCGATACCTCTGTGGCACCTATTCGTGAGACCGTCGGCCAGACACTTGGATCCGTCCTTCGTCATTGCCCTCCGGCAACCGTCCATGCTATTTACGAATTGCTGTTCCGCATGGTGATGCAGAAAGATCTTCAGCTCAACCACCATGAGTGGGCCATTTGCCACGGCGGCATGATTGGCCTTCGTTATGTCGTTGCTGTGAGGAAGGACCTGCTCCTGCAGGATACCGCCATGATTGATGGCGTTATTCTCGCTGTCATGGAAGGATTGGCCAACCAGGACGACGATGTTCGCTCGGTCAGCGCGGCGACCCTGATACCCATGGCCAAGGAGTTTGTTAAGATGCGCTCGGATGCCCTCCCTGATCTCATCAACATCGTTTGGGAAAGTCTCTCTAACCTTGGCGACGATCTCAGTGCGTCCACAGGCAAGATCATGGACCTCTTGGCGACTCTTTGCAGTTTCCCAGAAGTCTTGGAAACCATGAAGCACTCGGCGTCGCACGATGAGGAGCGGTCGTTTACACTCCTTGTCCCGAGGCTTTACCCCTTCCTTCGTCATACCATTACCTCTGTCAGGCTTGCTGTCCTCAAGGCTTTGATGACCTTCGTCAAGCTCGGAGGCGACACAACGCAAGGATGGCTTGGTGGAAGGATTCTGCGTCTAATCTTCCAAAACATCCTTGTCGAGAGGGATCAGGAAACACTGAATGCATCTGTCGATCTTTGGGCAGCCCTCGTCCGTACACTTGCTAACAACAACCCTGCGATACTCGCTGATGAGTTTGGACCACATGTGGACACGCTCATGCAGCTGACGCTGCATCCTATCGGTGTGTCTAGGAACCCCATTCCCATGAATGCAAGCTTGTTTCAGAAGCCTTCTGGCGGAACCTATTCCATGCCAGGGCTTGTCGCGGGTGGTAACAGGAGGTCATCGCCACCAGAAGGCGCGGATAGGACTGTCAAACGGAGGAGAAAATCGACCAAGGTTGACGAACCTCCTCCAACTTCCCATACTCACGATGTCGATGGCCACATGATGCAGGGAGATGTCGACCTCGTTGGTATGGATGTTCTGATCCGCTCCCGCGTCTCGGCTGCTAAGGCCATGGGCTTAGTCATGGCCCTGGTCCCACCATCAACCGTTGAAGCCTACGATGCCAGTATCATCCCGGCCCTCTCATCCGCATACTCTTCAACTCAGCTTACTGCCAGCATTATCATTGACGAGTACGCCAAGAACAGCGCCTCCAGTCAGGCATCAACTCGCTTCGTCCAACCCTTGCTCGCAATTATTGAGCAAGAACGGCCATCCCACTACCGAGACTTGGTTACCTATGTGCAGCGAGTACGATCACAATCGCAACAGCTGCTTAACCTTTGTCGAGATCATGGCAAGGTTTCGCAGAGCAAGTTGCCCACTCTTGCTGTCGTGGTACAGGGCGAGCCCGAAGCTGGTCCCGGCGCTTTCTCTATTGCGAACGCTGAGAAGGTTGTCAACGAAGATTTTGAGAGGCTCAAGAAGATCATGGCTCCTGGTCAGCGGCTGATTGCTGTCAAGGACCTCAATGATGCTCGCGATCTCGTCGTTACTGCTATTGAGGAGGCCAAGGCGGCAAAGGAAGCTCGGGATACTCGTATCCGTGCTGCTGCAGCATGCGCCTTGGTATCCATGGAGGTGCTACCCAAGAAGCCCAGCCCACTCATCAAGGCTATTATGGACAGCGTCAAGGGTGAGGAGAACAATCTGCTTCAAGGTCGCTCGGCTACCAGCGTCGCGCGTCTTGTACAGCTCTTCACCGAGTCTGGCCGCCGCGGCCCCGGTGACAAGATTGTTGCCAACTTGGTCAAGTATACGTGTGTGGAAACTGCGGAAACCCCCGAGTTCCCTCAGCACGCTCACAAGACGAACGTTATTCTTTCCATGTCCAAGGAGGAGGACAGAGCCGAGCACGAGGATCCAATCAAATTTGCGATCGAAGCAAAGAAAGCTCACATTACCCGACGCGGTGCCAAGCAGGCTTTGGAGGTGCTGTCGCAGACATACGGACCTGAGCTTTTGAGCCGGGTGCCTAGTCTCCGCACCTTCATGGAGGAGCCTTTGGTCAGAGCCTTCTCGGGTGAACTCCCAGCAGAGGCCAGAGATCCTTCGAGCACGTTTGGTCAAGAGATTGTGGATGCCCTGTCCATCATTCGCACCATGACCCCAACACTCCACACCGCACTTCACTCATTCGTCATGCAACAAGTGCCCTTTGTCATCAAGGCTCTCCAGTCCCAGCTTTCGGTCTTCCGATACATGGCTGCCAAGTGTATGGCCACCATTTGCTCCGTCATCACTGTCGATGGTATGACCGCACTTGTTGAAAAGGTTCTGCCCTCAATCAACAACCCTGTCGATCTCAACTTCCGCCAAGGCGCCATTGAGGTTATCTATCATTTGATTGCAGTCATGGGAGACGCCATCCTGCCCTATGTGATTTTCCTCATCGTGCCTGTCCTTGGTCGTATGAGCGATTCCGATGACAACATCCGTCTTATTGCGACCACATCATTCGCTACTCTTGTCAAGCTCGTACCTCTTGAGGCTGGAATTCCTGATCCTCCCGGTCTTTCAGAGGAGCTCTTGCGTGGCCGAGACCGTGAACGAACGTTCATTCAGCAGCTGCTTGACCCGAAGAAGGTCGAGCCGTTCCAGATTCCTGTAGCCATCAAGGCAGAGCTGCGTTCTTACCAGCAGGAAGGTGTCAACTGGCTCCATTTCCTCAACAAATATCACCTCCATGGTATTCTCTGCGACGACATGGGCCTCGGCAAGACGCTCCAGACAATTTGCATTGTCGCCAGTGACCATCATCAGCGTGCTGAAGAGTTTGCCAAGACCGGTGCGCCAGATGTCAGAAGATTGCCGTCTTTGATCGTCTGCCCGCCCACCCTTTCAGGACATTGGCAGCAGGAGATCAAGAACTACGCTCCATTCCTCAGCGTTAGGACCTACGTTGGTCCACCTGCTGAGCGAAAGGCTATGAAAGACACTCTGGACAAGACCGACATTGTCATCACCTCGTATGATGTGTGCCGTAATGACATCGACGTCATCAAGAAATACAGTTGGAACTACGTGGTGCTTGATGAGGGACACTTGATCAAGAACCCCAAAGCAAAGATCACCATCGCCGTCAAGCAACTGGCCAGCAACCACCGTCTTATCCTCACCGGTACACCGATCCAGAACAATGTGCTAGAATTATGGTCCTTGTTTGACTTCCTCATGCCCGGCTTCTTGGGTGCAGAAAAGGTGTTCCTTGACAGATTCGCGAAGCCCATTGCCAACAGTCGATATAGCAAGGCGTCCTCGAAGGAACAAGAAGCAGGCGCTCTGGCTATTGAGGCGCTGCATAAGCAGGTCCTGCCCTTCCTTTTGCGACGTCTCAAGGAGGAAGTTCTTAACGACTTGCCACCCAAGATTTTGCAGAACTACTATTGCGACCTCAGCGACCTTCAACGCAAACTTTTCGAGGACTTCACCAAGAGGGAGGCGAAGAAGATCACCGAGGAGGCGGGCCGTGATGACAAGGAAGCCAAGGCCCACATTTTCCAAGCTCTGCAGTACATGCGCAAGCTTTGCAACTCTCCTGCGCTCGTCATGAAGCCCGGTCACAAGCAGTACGATGATACACAGAAATTCCTGGCCAAACGAAACACGAGCCTCGAGGATCCAGCCCATGCCCCCAAACTCACGGCACTCCGAGACTTGCTTGTCGACTGCGGTATCGGTGTTGAAGGTCAAGAATCGTCCGATCCGCTCTACACGCCCATTAAGCCTCATCGTGCGCTCATTTTCTGCCAGATGAAGGAAATGTTGGATATGGTTCAGAATACCGTCCTCAAGACTATGCTTCCCTCGGTATCTCACCTTCGTCTTGACGGATCCGTCGACCCTACCCGCCGTCAGGACATTGTCAACAAGTTCAACAGTGACCCATCATACGATGTGTTGCTGCTCACCACGAGCGTCGGTGGTCTTGGTCTCAACCTGACTGGTGCAGATACTGTTATCTTTGTTGAGCACGACTGGAACCCGCAGAAGGATCTGCAGGCCATGGATCGCGCCCATCGTATCGGTCAGAAGAAGGTGGTCAACGTTTACCGCTTGATCACCCGCGGAACACTTGAGGAGAAGATTCTCAGTCTTCAGCGTTTCAAGATCGACGTCGCCAGTACGGTAGTGAACCAGCAGAATGCAGGACTTGCGACCATGGATACGGATCAGATTCTTGATCTGTTCAACCTTGGTGATGCCGGACCAAACCTCATAACGGAGGGCAAGAACAAGGACAACCTTGAGGGCAGGGAGGAGGACATGGTGGATATCGAGACGGGCGATGTCAGGCAACCTGGCAAGAAGGCGGCTTGGCTCGAAGGCCTCGGGGAGCTGTGGGATAATTCACAGTACGAGGAAAGCTTCGATCTCGACGGCTTCCTGAAGACTATGCAGTGAGGGCCTGAAAGCTTCCCCTGAACCCATCTGCTGTTCAAGGAACTGAGTACGTATGTATACCTGCTCAAGTCGTTGATGAGCAGTGGGTATGAACAAGTCATGTACGACTATCCCCACACGTAGCTTCGCAGCTCGCGCATGCCAAGTGCCGAGCCGCGGTGGATGGTGGAAGAACAAAGACAGGACTTGACGCCTGATCACAGCGTTGCTGACAGGCCATTGCCTGGATAGACCCCCTGAGAGTGGGAACGGAAAGGAGACCACATCTTCGGGTTTCAATCAGTGATGGTCAACTTCACGACTATCGATCGAGGTGGCAACAAGGACGCTCAAGTCTATCACATCATAAAATGACGAAGGGAACGAGAAGAAGATTTGATTGCCATTGGCTGGATGAACATGGAAGCTACACAAAGGTATCTGCTCACAAGAGGATAAGTGAGGCGGAGGAGGAATTTCGAGCAGTGCCCGTTTGTGCTCGATCTGTAGGATATATACAATAACAGCATTGTATCTTGCTTTTTCTTGCTTTTTTTAATTCCCTTTCTTTATTATCATGCGTGTCAAAAGCTAGATGGCAGGCGAGGTCATTGCTGATTTGGGGATTGGTCGGCTGGCTGATGAGGAGTTACGGTGTTGTTGGCTGGTTCTAGTGCAAATAGGGAGAAATAAAACAAGGATAAACGGATCAAGATGGATGGATGGATGGTGGGTGAGGCGGATGGCCGGATACAATGCATGAATGAGCTTGTGGATTTGCTGGAAAAGGAATGGATAGGTAGATCGGAATACCCTGAATTTGCTATGCTACCGTTGAGATGCGTGCTTGGAGTGACTCGTGTCGTGTCATGCCTGTGAAGCTTCGTGTTTGACGTTGACGTGTGGGAAGGCAGTATACCTAACCATACTCGACATAAGGATGTGAAGTCTCTTTGCTACATGTTTATGACGGGATTAATACTCTTGTTGGTCGTCTTGTATCCATTCCACTGCCCTTTCACTGCCTTGAAAAGCCTTTGGGATTCGCTGTTGTTGTCTTGCCACGGATATAATGTGCAACTTGATGCGTTCACTGAACGTTGAAACCCTTCGCCGACTTCGAGACATCTGTAAGCGTGTATCAAAGACCTGTAACTGTATGCCTATTCTTATGCCTTCGTTCTCCATGTCCCTCTCCAGATAGTATCTTACCAACGTGATTGTCCCTCCTCCTTAAAGTAACGAATGCTATGAACCGAACATTACATTGATACAACCCAACATAAATACCACCTCATCTTGTGCTCTCAGTCTTCCTCACTGACCTCACCCTCCTCAATTCCTCCCCACTCGTCCTCCCCCTCCTTCACCGCCGGCTTCCCATTGCCTTCCCTAGGAACAACAGGGTCAACGTTAATGGCTTTACCTTTTCCTTTCTCCTCTCTTGTTGGTCTTCTACGCTTCTTTCCCTTCGCTTTGGCCTTGGCTGCTGCTAATTCTTCCCGGGCATTTTTGTAGTATGTGTGTTGGTTGGCGAGCTCATCATCATCATCATCCGTTCTAGGGGCGGCGGTGCTAGGGGTAGTAGTTGCAGCTGTAGTTGCAGTTAAAGCTTTCACCTTTACCGTTCCAGCTCCCTTTGTCTTTGTCGATACTCCTCCCGAATTCGAATTCCCCGACGACGGCACCTTAATCTCCAACCCGCCCAAATTCTTCGGCCCCTTTAGCTCCATCTCCTGAACCCACACCTCCACTTTTCTAAACCGCCACTTGAACAAGTGCGCATCAGGTTCCCATTCTATGTTGAATGGTCTTTTCTCTATCATATTTCCATAATAATCGTCCCCATCGTTTTCGTTGCCCTGCTCATTGGTGTCTTTCCCGTTATCAACATCATCATTATTTTGGCCATTTGTGTTAGTCCATTCTTTGAACCTCGCCTCCGCTTCGGGAACCACCTCGTCCCGCCAGTGCGAAACATCGTTCATCCTCGCGGGCGGCTCCGGCTTGGTTAGGGCTTTGAAGATTTCCAGTGCCTCAAGGTTGGCGAGGCGGAGGGTCGTGAAAGTACCGTGGAGAGTGGTGGCGGGTGTGAGGAGGGTGGAGGAGGGCAGGGGGAGGAGGGGGTGGGGGGATGTTGTTAGGAAGACTTCTTCTTCTGATGTGGGAGATGTCTTCTGAGTCAGACTCGGAAGAGGAGGAGTAGATGGTTGAGGGGGGAGGTGGGGAGTAGAGGGTACAGGGTAAGGGGGGTGTGGGCGGGCGTGGTGGATTGGTGGGCTGGTTTTGAGGCTGGGTTGAGTTAGAATTATTTTGTTCTGTTTGTGCTGGTGTGGGAGGATTGGTTGATAGATTTGGCCCTGACCAAGGTCTTGAGTGACCCTCGACATCCATTTTGTGAGGATCCAGATGGCCCTGGACGTTTGTTGTGGGATGCCCTTCCAACTGAGTCGAGGGACTAGCGTGAGTTTGTTTCTCCGGCTGTGTTTGGGTCTCGCTCTGGGTTTTGCTCGTAATCTCCTGTTGAGTGTGAATCTCAGGCTCCGTTTGCGTTTGGTGGCCCTCAGTTTGTGAGTCCATGTTCATCTGGACACCTGAAGTATCCTGATCTTCGCTAATCTTCTGCGTCTCACCTGCTTCCACATCAACATCCCCTTCATTCAACTGCCCATCAACGTCCTTACAACCGAATAAATCTTCCTCCTCTTCATCATCGTCTTCGTCATCCCCCTCATCCCCCTCATCCACTACCTCAACCCTTCCCTTTCCACTTCCCACCCCCACTCCCGGACTCTTCGTCTCTTCTTCCTCACTCGGATAATACCTCACAGCCCAAACAACCCACATCCTCTTTGCATAAATCCCCATGCCCTCCTCGCCCACCCACAACTCCCTCTTCTCCAGCACTTCACCGAGCATCGCCGCCTCCTCGTGCACATAGTAGAACTGAATTTCCCCATCCTCGTAAAAAACCGTTCCTTTGAAAAGGTGGTCGCCCACATATCCTTGTTCCACAGTTTGAAAGGGGATGTCCTCCTTGAGTAGGTTCAGCACCCGTCGTCGGCAGGTTTCGTTGGCCTCCTTTTTGGAGGTGTAAACGACCTTCGATCGGTAGTGGCGAACGGAGTCGGACTCGGAGATGGGGTGTTTCTTCGTTTGTTTGATCACGTATTGTAGGATGACATCGGTGGGGGAGAGGAGGGATTGCGCGGGCACGGCTTTCTTGGGTGGAGGAGGTGGAGGGATGGCAGCATCGGGGTCTGGTTCTGGAACTGGAGGAAGAGCAGCTGGGAAGTGATGAGGGGGTGGTAGCGTTGGAGTCAGGGTTGGTGGAAGAGCGTGAATGCTGGTTGTTGGTGCCGGTGGGTTCTTGCTCGATGATGGAATGGTAGACTTCTTGCGTCTTGAGGCTGGCGAAGGCCGAACTGGTCCCTCGTATTCTTTTGCCGATTGTTGGAAATCATTAGTGGCGCGCTGAGCTGTAAACTTGTAACCGGTTCGCTCTTCGTTGAAACTGCTAGGGAGATGGTTGACTATTCTTGCATGCTTCGTTTGTGGGCCCTTGTCCTTGAAAAAATTGAATTGATTCACGTCTGCTTTCGTAAGACGTGATATCGAAGGCTTCCCCTTTGATCGAGACGGTTGTGTTGCTTGAGCTGTTTGATGGGTTACTGGTTGGCTTGATGCCGGATTTTTGTCACCTTGCGTTCTTCGTGCATCTTTGGTCGGTTGGCCCCTCGAAGAAGATATGGTGTTTGTGGGATTGCTTGCAGTCTTGTCACCGAATATGCTGTCAATAGGGGCCTTGGTGAATTCTCGTACCACTTGCTCTTCTGTTCGTTTGGGTGCTTGAGTTTCCTTTGCCCTCTCTTTAATTTGATAAACTTTCTCCGTCGCCTTAACGCCTACTGTGGTTGGCGTGTTCCTGATACTTTTAGCAATCTCCTTTGACTTCGCGTGATCCAGGCTCGTGCAAGGGCTCATTCGAGACAGCACATTTTTACTCAGGGGTCTCAGGGGCGCTCTAATCCGGGAATGAGATGAGCCGGGTTCTCTTTTAAAGCGCTGACGCTGGTCCTTTGAAAAAAGGTGGTCATAACATCCGGACCGGTGCTGTCCGATGCTCAATCTCCGTCTCTTCGCACTGTCGACGCTTCCACTACGGCCCAAGGCCTCAAGATCTTCGACGACTAGAGGCCTCTTTGAAGATCCAGCTTCGGCGTCGTGTTTGGTCGACGATGTAGAAAAATCTGCCTGGAGTGACTTCGTGGCATCGTCGCTGTCTTCTGTCCCCTTTGATTCTTTCGCATGAGCTGCGCGCACATACTCAAACCTTCCCCCAAACGGTTCTTTATCCTCTACTTTTCCCTCTTTTGGGGTTTCTTGGACAGACTTTTGCCGCAGGTGGTCCTGGATGGCCGTGTTGAAACAGTTATTATCTGAACTACTTTCATCGTCCGGCCCGGTTCTCTTCGGAGATGATGACGACGTATCAATGGCTGTTTCTTGGAAAGTTGTTAGCTGTCTCGGTCGACATAATCCTGTATGGGGCTGAGTACACACCGTGGCTATGACCGGGTGTTGAGCTGTTTGAACTGCTTGCTGCTGGTTCTGGATCCAGAGCCTGGGTGGATGTCGGCAATGACGTAAACCAAGTTTTGGCTGGCCCAAATATCGAGTTCATTCTGGTCGTGTTGTGGAATTCCAAGCACCACCTGGTCTGTGTCCTGTGTATGGATACTTGAATCGCTCCGATATGACCGTTGCAAGCTCTGGCTGATTGATATATAACGGCGCGGTGAGTATAAGGAGGCCATTGATCGAGCAATTTGTTGAAAGGTGGAAGATATGAGATGGCGTTGACCTCTTGTCGAGGTTAATAATGTGTAGTTGGAACAGCGGCTGCGGACACTTTCGACTCCATAGACACTAGAATACGGACGCAGGACGATGTTCTGGGAAGGAAACCGTAAGAGTAGCAGTTATCCATCGAGGTACAAGTAGGTTTCTTGGCGCGGAGTGCGAGTGTTTTGAATGATCTCCAGAGTAAAAGCGGAGGATGACCTAAGATGCAGAGAGAAGAAGAGAGTCGAGGGAAGAGTACCATGAAGCAGAGAAGGAGGGCGAGGAAGAAAGAGGAAGATTCCATTTATGGTACCGCTTGGACGTAACTCCACGCTCTGAAAGAGTGATGTTTAGAGGGATAGAGCACGGCAATGTTAACCAAGGGGTGGGAGGAGTTCGTTGTCGTCGCCATCGCCATCATTGTCTGTGGTAAGTTTAGTCTTGGATCCCAGCAAGGAGGTCAACATACAGATGTCCAAAATCGTGATATGGCGTTCACCGTAAAGTCAAGTCCAGATGAAATGAAACCGCTGCCCGAACAGTATTTGGGTCATTATTCTACTCAATTCCTCATCCTAATGGCTTGTGTTCGAGTCTCATGGCCATAACATCGAGATCATGAGCCCGCGACCCTAAATACGGTAAGATCATGATGTTGAGAGTGGCTGTAGCACCCTATATGTGGTGACTTGATGGGTTAGTAGAAGTGAAGCTATTCCCGTCTTTGACGACGCATATGATGAGGGGGTGTAACATTGGATGACGGCCCGGGGATGAGGTGATGTTTGAACAATGCCCGACAGGGGAAGCTTGCAGCTGGTGCCCGCTGGAGGAGCATTCCCCATTGTGCTGGGGAGGCGGGCTAGACCGGGAGTATCTTAGCGCCCGTTCTCCGCAATTTAAGCCTTTGTCGCATTGGCCAGGTGGGGGCCAGTCTTGCCTGAAAAGAGCAAAAGAATTCAAATTTGTGAGTGGTCACTGTCTCGGGCGCGGCAGTCCACTGTAGCATAATGGCCGGCCCCGGAGCCGCGACCACACACCAGGGCACTGTTTGGGGTTTCAAGCGGACGACCATCTCACCGGCCACAAGACGTCACTGACGGGATCTCTTTCTCGGCCGGCTCCAAATCTTGCCTTTGAGCCCATCCTTGACCCGACACGGACCCAGACAACCACCACCACCACCACCACCATCAAAACTACTCCGCAGACGCCTCCATCACCGTCCGCCACAACGGCCGACGATTCGTGTTTCTGATCTTTTTTTTTTTTTTTTTTCCTGACCCAACCAGCGAGCATCGCATTTTTTCCCGCTTGAGTGTGGTGTGTTGATATACAGAATAAATACCCATTGTTTTTGGCTTCTCCAGAGATCCACGTTGGCGCTTGAGGTGGCCTTGTCGATATCTCCAGTTTGCTTGTTCCCTTCGTGCGACCAGTCCTCTATCGGTGATTCAGCAAAAACACACGAGACACATAAAACCCAGGTCTGCCACAAAACAGCACCCATCACAACAACCAACTAGTCGATCGCGACGACATTCACAATGGAGAACACTACGCCATCAGAGAATACACCGCTCCTCCCCACCACGACACCATCATCTCCCGACGTCAGCCGTCCCACGAGACCGCAACGAACTGTCACCTTCAACCCTAATCCCGTCACCAAGACCATCGAGCCCGAGGCCGCCTACCGTCAGGCCCGCGCCTCGCATCCAAGCCTACCGCATCCGCCAATGTCCCCTTCAAGTTCCTCCGCCATTAGCACTGGCGGTCTCGGCGGCGGCCCCCCCATGTTATCGGCCCTGAATGGCAAGATGCGGCGACGAAACAGCGGCGGTACTATCGGAACCAACCACAATTCTGGCCTGCCCTATACGTCTGCTGGCAACACTCACCTGCCCAAGATCGGCCCCCAGCGTAGCACCAAGAACGCCCAGAAGCTCAAGCTACTACCCAACCCGGAGCTGGAGGAAGATGGCGTCGACGAGGAGAGCGGTCGCGACGTATACTCGCAGTACACCCGTATCAAGGATCCCACGGCCCGTCGTGATGCTGCGCGTCTCGGCAAGGCGGACCGCGACAGGTTGCCCAGAGTGACGGCGTACTGCACAGCTAGTAGGTACCAGATGGACGGCCTTATGCGGTTCCTCAAGAGCAGATCCAAGAGTCGTGGCGCAAACCCAAAGTTGATCGACGAGTGCATCTACACTCCTTATAGCTACAATCCCAAGCAGGCGGCTGAGAACAACCGGGCCGAGGCAGAAGCCCAGGAGCAACAACAGCTGGGGCATTTCGACCCGATACATTCTCGCAGGCATTCCACCGGCGAGGTGACCCAAGGTGACAGCAGTGGTTATCAAAGTACAGAGGACCTGATCAGCCTCAATCTCAATGGAGGCAGCACCTCCAGGGAAGGTGTTCAGGATATGGTGGCCCAAGGGGTCATCAGCGACGAGAACGCTGTGTCGGATGACCCGCTGGCTGATTTCGACATCCAAGTCCACACTCCGGAAGTCTTCCTCTTTGAGTACGGTGTTGTGGTAATATGGGGCATGTCGGTTGCCCAAGAACAGCGGTTCCTAAAGGAGATTGCAAAGTTCGAGTTGGAAAAGTTGGGGCCGGACGATACGGAGACGGAGTATTTTAACTTTTACTATACACACGAGTACCAGGCCCGGATCTACAACGACTTCATCACCTTGCGAGACAAGAACAACTACATGACGAAACTGGCCATTTCCCACGCTCTGGCCCAGAGTGTCAAGGTTTGTTCCTCATCCTATTAGTGCCTGACGTAAGACTGCTGGCTAACCCTATCACATAGACGTCTCTCTTTGAAGAACTTATTGCTTCGACCATCGAGACGTGCAAGGACATCCCCACGCAGATTGCATTGACGGGCAAGATCGACCTCAGTCGACAACAGATCAATATGCAAATCGGAGAGCTCTTCATATTGCGTGTCAACATTCACCTAAACGGCTCTGTCCTCGATACACCGGAGCTGTTCTGGGTCGAGCCACAACTCGAACCATTGTACAAGGCCGTGCGCAGTTACCTCGAGATGGACCAGCGTGTCAAGTTGCTGACAGAGCGTATGGATGTCATTGCCGATCTGTTGGCTGTTCTCAAGGACCAGCTAACTCACGGTCACGGAGAGAAACTAGAGTGGATCGGTAAGCGGCCATGCACACATACACCCTCAACAACCTGGGATTATGCTAACTTACTTAATAGTGATTGTTCTTATTGCTGCCGAGATTCTCGTGGCGGCCGTAAACATCGTTGTCGATTTGTATGCGGGCGTTGACTAGAAGGAGACAGCAACTCGGGATACAGTGCCAACAGAGGGATGGTCCCTTTGTAACTCACTTCTTTTCCTTTTAGTTATTTTCTGCATGGAATTGGGCATCTTTTTGAGCACTGGAGGAGTTCTGGGCCTAAAGGCGATGAGTTGTGACGTTGTTTTTATCTGGCTGGATTCTTTGGTGGATAGCATTTAGAAGGGATGGCGCTTCGTAGGGCCAGTGATGAACAAGAAAGGCAGAGAGAAGGAGAGCCTTGATATGCCGGAGAGAAAAGATCAAAGAGCGCCAACGATATTCTCGTTCTGGCTTGACTACCCGTGATAGACGTTATACCAGTAAGACTTCATTTCATTATCTCAACCAGACGTGATACTCTGCCCGTTCTTCTATCTTTCCCCGGTACTTGGATTGGCTGTGTGACATCCCCTACTCTTCATCTTATGTTCCAGCAGATACATCATGATACGTACTATGGGACGGTCAAGGCACCAAACAGGCAGGACTGGGCAGGTGCCCGTCGGTGACGTTCCCTTCGCAAACGAAGAAGGAACTCCAGCACACGGAAGTGGCAGGCACAGCTTCCGGTTCGCGAGGAAGGTACGACGAAGGCAAGCCGATAACGGAAGTCACGTCTACCGCGTTGCCTGGGCAGTGAGGACACTTGGGGTTTTCCTCACGGGGGTCTCATTACCTTTTCACCCCACCTCACTGCAGCGTTCGAACATTGTTTTCCTACCCTCATCCTTTCTCCAAGGTTGTTCTTCGTCCTCCAAGATCTGCTCGCATCAAGCCCGGGAACTTACGTTGATGGGCATCTAGATCGCGGTTTAGATCATGATCTCTGTCAAAATGGAGGTCGACAACGTCAACTTCTGGGGCCATCTGCCCACTATCCTTGACGCGATTGCCGATGCCGAGTTCATCTCGCTTTCTGTGATCGGTTATCCCGATGCTATCATCAAAGCTAACCAGACCAAGGAGGAGCTCTACCATGAATTGGTAGAACACTCCAAGGTTTACCACATCTCCAAGATTGGCCTGACTTGTTTCCAATACGACGAGAAGCAAAAGGGTACGTATGATGGGAATTTCTTAGCCTGGGTGTTCACCGAGGTAACTGACATTCCGAGTCTCAGCATATTCTGCGCGTAGCTTCAACTTTGCCATCACCCCTTGGTTTCTCTCTGCAAACATTCAGGCGGAACTCATCGCAAAGACCGTCAATCGAACGTTTTCCTTTTCATACGACACCCTTCAACAGTTGGCGACAAACGGCTGGGGTTTCAACGAAGCTTGGGAACGGGGTGTTCCTTACTTGACCCGCTGGGAGGCGCAAACAGTCGAGGAGCGTTTCCTCCAGCCTTGGGAGACCAAGAAGCCATTGGACATCAACAAACTAGATGCCGAGTCCCAGAAATTTCGGGCATGGGCCAATGAGCAGATCACATCTTGGCTGAAAGAAGAGGTACGATGACTCCTTCTGGTTTTGTCTGTCGACTTGCTGGTCATCAAGCTCATGCCCGCCTTCCTTTACAGGACAAGACTCTTGACTTAGCAACCCCCTCAGGCGAGCGGTTTACTAGCCTTCAAGTTGGACTCATCTGCCAACTTGTCCACTCCTGCTTTGAGGACTGTCGCGCAACTCTTAGAGATGACAATCGAATCATGCACATCACGAAGCTCAGTCGCACAGAGCTCACCATTGAGGTCAGGGAAACAGCCACAATTCACTAGTCTAGGACTATTTACTGATCGATGCTCACAGAGATTGACGAACCGCCGCATTGCACTGACGCGACAGTCAGGTAAGCAATTCCGATAGCACTTCATGACACCCAGGCCTTTCTGGTTCCACTAACGCTTGTTCTTGCAGGATTTCTCTACGTGGTGGAGGCTCTCCTCGGGGGACATTTTGCCAACGACATCGAGCCCGAACTATGCTTGGCATACTTATTGGTGGTGGATCGTGACTCGCGAAGTCAACTTGTCTCGGCTTTTCGCGACAGACTTAGAGCAGCTGAGAATAGAAACAGGCTCAGACGACCTATCCTGCTCATTCACTCTCAGCTCGACATGCTGTGTCACTTTTACTCGACATTTTTGGGCCCACTTCCGGAGACACTCGACGGATTCACAAAAGAAATACACGACATCTTCCCTCGGATCGTGGACAGCAGGATTCTGTATCCCCTCAACAACTATCCATCTCACTCGTTCGACAGGCACAAGACTTCAATTGAGTTCATATCTGCCGCAGAGGAAGAGGGAGGACCCGTTGTTACACCAGTACGAGGATTCGAATACCAGAACAAGATGGCTGAAGAACACGGTCTTTACGGCTGGTATTCCAACCTCGCATTCCTCAAGGTTGCAGCAAAGAAGCTGCAGAAGGAGCAGTGGCTGAGTAAGACCCGGCCCGAAAAGACGTGCGGAAGCATGAGAATGAAGACGAGAAAACCAAGCAAGCTTTTCTTCACTCTCAATCCCTTTGCGCCCAACAGCATTATCAGCCGTCGGTCAAGTATTTGTTCTTCTGTCGCTTCCGGTATGACTGGAAGCATGGTTGACACCCCGCCCAGTGTTTTCGGTGACGGCAGTGAGGAGGAGGAGGAGGAGGAGGAAGAGAAGCAGGAGGCATCTGAGGTTCATCGTCTCCCCCCGTGGGGGGCAGTTTTCTGGGAAAAGTTTGGAAACAAATTGATCCTCGACAACGGTGAAGTTTTGGCGCTCACCACTTCGATTCCGCTCAGAAAGACCCGGATTCGGAATCTCTAGGATGATCATTGGGACCTCCTATATGAGCTCCTTTTTGTGTGGACTTTGGGCACGATTTGTGTGTTATTTACATTGCTTTTCAGATGAGATAAAGATTGAGACCCGAATTGTTTGTGATGTGATAATGTCAACAAGTAATTTGTTAATGATGTTTGAGGAATGGAGGAGCACACCACTATACGCGCACGAGAGGTGTTCCGCTAAAGGCGTAAACCAACGGCATCATATGGATGATGGAGGCGTAGGGAGACGCGTGAAGATTTCCTACAGGCCGCCGTGATGAAGATTTCCAGCCAGCCTAAAAGTACCGTTGCTTTGGTCTGCAGCTGGCATAAGCTTTGACGGTATGTCTCAAGCCGGGAGCACCGGTGTTCATCATCGATCAAGGCTGGATCTTAAGAGGCCACTGCCACCCTTATCCAGGTCTCTAGCGCAGAATCGGGTTACACATATGTGATTAGCTCAGGATTTCTGTCTTGTTTGTGTATGTTAGTATCAGATTTCACTTCAGATAGTGAAATGACCAACCCAGCGGATGTCTCGTAGTATTCACCAACCATCTCGCATTGTGTATGACATCTTCATCCCAAATCTCTATACATAAGCATATGTTTCTACATTACAAACAACACAAGGGACGAGAGGTCTCTTTCCTCGTCCCCTCTCATCCCTGTGCTTCATGTCAGCCTTCGCCCGCTTCTTACAGACGGAGCATGCGAGCTTGGCTTGGCCTAGTCAAGTATGCTGAAGCGTGCAAGGCGGTTGACCTGTCAAGTCAACTTCCAAACCGGGTCTCTTTCTCTTTCTCGAAAACTTTGGTTGTGTTCGGCTAGGGGGCGGTCCAGGTCGACTCAGCGCATAAACAACAATTGTACCTTACCACCGACCAACTAAAACCATCTTTTGATATCAATACATTTGTACACATGCTTCTCTCTTCTTCCTCCACCCACACACTTCCCCATTCCATCTCCCCGGAAGATAATGGTAGTCCCACCGACGTCAACCATCCACTCATCACCACCTCTCCAACCTTCTTCCTCCTACTTCACCAGACCAGCCCACAAGGGAGTGTTGTTGTGTTGTTCACCTCTCAGCAAACATGCCCTTAACGCTGTGGAAGTACTCCTCCGCCAACGTGCTGCGCAGCTCCTCCTGCGTGAGCCACTTAAAGTCGACCAGATCATGCAGGTTGTCGGTCAGGTCGGCCTGGCCGGCCATGATGCGGCCCTTGAGGAAGAAGATCTTCTCGCCCTTCTTGAGCAGGGCGCCGTCCTTCTGGCCAAAGACGGGGCGGACGACGTGGTGGGCTACGGGTACGCGGCCGACGATCCACGTGTTCATGTTGACGCCTGCGGACTCGGCGAGGATGCGGGCTGCGGTCTGTTTATTGTTATCAAAAGGTTAGTTAACTGGAGTTTTAGAAAATGGTTGAAGGTTTGGGGGGGATAACGAACCTCATGCAACCCCTCATCCGTAGGCACGACGCCCGTAGGGAACATCCACTTGGCCTCCTCGCCTTCCTTGTCCGCCTTCTTCTTCACCACCAGATAAAGCGTCTTGTCCAGCGCGCGATCCAACCGCTTGACATCCCCCTTCTCATCCGCCTCCGTCCGTCTCGGCATCGGCTTCTCGACGGGGACCCGATCCTCAGCAGGGATCTCCTCGCCATCCTCCGACACGCGCATCTCCGCATCGGCAAGCAACTTGTCCACCATGTGTTTTCTCGACGACGTCTGCGACCCCACCAGCACCTCGTCGTTCCACGCCATCCGGCCGCGCGGGTTGTACCGACCAATGTCCTTGGCGGGCACGCCGTGGCGCTCCTTGAGCTTGATGCGCCAGTCCAGGTCGGCGGCCGTGTCCTTCTTGAAGTAAAAGTCCTTGCGGAAGGGGGCCGTCAGCCGCTCGTTGAGGCGTTTCTGGTAAAAGTAGAAGGATTCTTCAAAGGGGGTGAGGTCGCGCGTCAGCAGCGGGGGGCGGGTCAGGATCACGCCCGACTTGATGCGGTAGATTTGCGACGAGGTCGAGGTGGCGGCGTCGGTGCCTGTTGATGTGGTGACGGGCGGGTGAGGAGGGGGTAGTGTTGTTGTGGTCGTGGCAGTGGCAGAGGCCTCGGCGGAGTAGAAACGTCTAGGTGCACTGGCGCCGGCGGCGGCGACGGGCGCAAGTACTCGGGTTTGGGTGCGGCATTGTAGGCAGATGGAGCGTTGTTGGCCTGCAAGGAAGAGAGGAACAGATTGCGACGGGTTAGTTAGGGTGTCTAAGCTTAAAGTTTGCGATCGGAAGCCATGCATGGAAAACACCAATTCGTAACGAGTTGACGATACAAAAAGAAGAAAAAGAAAAAGTGGTCCATACTCCTAAGGAGAGCAGCTCCCCTACTCGACGCCGACATGATGGGCAGTATATATGACTTGGTTGTTGGACGGGGCCCGGGTGTGTAGACAACAGGACACGGGACGGAGGGAGGGAGGGAGGACGGGTGAATCTTGCGCGCGCGCCAATCCTCAACGCAACTCTCTCTCTCTCTCTCGCAAGTCTCGGGGTGGATTCGGGACGGGGTCGGTCGGTCGGTCGCTGCGGCGGCGGGCGGGCGGGCAGGCAGGCAGGGCAGAGCGGACGGACGGGCGATACAGCGCGCGGGAAACCGGCCGTGAACTTTTTCGATGTCCGCAGCCCCACTCTTTCCCTGGGGCCCTCCCGCCTGCCGCGCTGCCGCCGCGCACCGATCAGTCAGGTCCCCTGCTCGTTATTCGTTCCTGGTCGCGATTGAACAACTGAATCTTGGCAACCGATTTACTTTTCTCACCGCCTTCCCTTTTCGAAAGCTTCCCTTATTCTTCTCCAAAACCAAACGAACCAATTCCCCCCACTACCCCACCATAACTTTCACGTCGGCTCCTACCCCACATGACCACTCACCTGACTGAAGCGGGTCCAACAAACTTTTGAACTGCTGCAATAAAACTGCGACCAGTCCCCCTCCCTCTCTTCTTCCTTCTCTTTTTTTTTTTTTTTCTTCAAGGCACCATTCCTTATCATCACGACGTTTCTCTTCCTCCAAAACTGTCCTGATCATTTAGTCCGTGCCGAGAGGAACCACCATGAGCAGACGAATTCGCTAGCGGTACCTGCCTTTAAACGCTCTACCGGGTTGCTGTTAGATAGAATCTGCTTACATATTTTTTTTCTGCGAACTCTCGTGACGGTTTTGCATTGTAATAATACTGCAGACTGTCTTGTGTGTGTGTGTGTGTGTATTTGCTCTTCTGAGAAATGAGCTTGGCCCAGTCAGTCTGGTCAGTCTCCTTCTCCATAGCATGTATATACACTATGTGTGAGGAGACTTCGCTGGATGAAAGTCGAGATGGGGCTGGTCTTGAAAGTGTTATTCTTGCCTTCATGAAATGCTTCCCCGTCTCGAATTTCTCAAGCCTCGTTTTTGTGGCACGCGTGTTGTCTGGCTGCTTGGTGTCCTGTCGATCTATTCCTTGGCTTTGGATATGGACTCTGAGGTCATTCATGGATCGTTCTCCATCCCCGACACTTGCTTGTCGTCACTCCGGTCAATGTCGCGATCAAGCACGGCCACATGATTACCCCGATACTGTTCCTCCATCTTCTACTGAAGTCTCAGCTACGCCGCAATGCACATCACTGCCCAGCTCAAAATATTCATTCCCACCATCCATGTCGCTGATCATGATATATATATATGCGTGCTTCATCTCATAGAATTATCAGACCTGCCTCCTTGCTAGCGTTCGGACAAGCTTTCCGAATCTTTACTAGGCTACGTATCAGATTGGATGGACAAGTTAGTATACTATCAAAAAAGATGAACAAGAATAGAATGAGCAGTCATCACGTTATCAACCGACTTGTTCAGCACACCTTGCTCAATGCCGGAAACTGTGGACTACACTACATAGTCCAAGTTCCTTAACGATGACCAAAATGCAAAAAATAGTCATGTCTGTTCATTGAAAAGATCCTAATGTATAAAAGCTACCGCACGCCAGTTGTCCGCCAGGATATTTACCCAGATTCGCCCCAGCCGGCCCTGATACCATACACCATCTAACATATACATCACATGAGTGATCAGAAAGTACTTCTCCTTTCTATCATGCCCAATACATAAGCTTCATCCTGATCAACGATGACTGATGCAAAGCTTCCGTGCCAGCAACCGCTTGGATGCTGGACCAAGTTCGACGCCTTTTTCCGCGCTCACACTTTGCTCTGTTTCCAAGCCCTCATTGTACCTGCAATGTAATCCCCACAGAGCTCTGGAACCCTCATTACCGAAACGCCCTGCCAATCGAAAGCGATGGGCATCATGATAGTCGGGCATGTTGTTGGTCAGCTCCCAATGAGCCAAGTGTCAACTCACGCCTTCAACTGTTCAACCGCCCTAGTAACCTCCTTGGCCGCAAGCTTCTCCCAGCTCTGTTTCAGCTCTTCGCCTAGATCCATTGCAGGATTCTTCACTTCCTCGTAAAGCTTCCTCGACACATCTCGGTTGATGGCCTCGTACTGCTCCGCAGTGATTTTCTGCGAATGCCAGTGAGGCCTTAATGCTCCCCGAACTATACTGTTGATGCTTTGTTTGACGTCGAGAGGCAGAGCGGGTCGTGATGGCGATGTCTCTGGGGATCTGTGTGACGCATCGGGATGAGGCCGCCGCGCTAGCGATGTCTGGATAGGAATCGATGCCGACGAAGATGATCCACCAGCGGCTGCCGAGCCAGTTTGCTGGCGGGAACGACCGCGCTGTTGCTCCGTGTCACTGTTCTCGGGCGAGGTTCGACTCCTAGGTCTGTTGTTCGGCGAGGACGACCGGGAAGTCTTAGCTGTCGGTGATGTTGGTCGGTTGAGCGAAAAGTTTGCCGGAGCATAGACAGGGGCCAGATAGGAGCTGAGGCCAGGGGAACTCGGCCGGCTCATGACCATCGGCGGTGTTGTTGCCCGGGGACTGACATAGGTAGGAATCGGCGACCCCGTGTCGATGCTTCCTGGAACAGGAAATTCGGGAAGATCTCGGAAGCCATCCTCCTCAGAAGGCGTGCTCATCTCTACTTCCTTGAGCAACGACGATAAGAAAGACGGCGCTGCTTCGGCGAATGCTGATGATCCGGCGGTGGTGGATGAACTCGGCTGATTCGCCGCTGAGGTGGATGGTTCCCCGTTCTGATGGGTGTGTAGTCTCCGCGTTCGAGGCCTTTTCAGCTTCCTCTCGGGCTCATGGTGTGATGCTTCGACTTCTTCACCACTAATGGAGCGTGACTTGCGCTTGCGACTCGCGGAGCTCTCCTGGTTACCTCTGGCCATCTCAAAAGCACCCCATGCGCGTTCTTCTTCGCGTGTCTGTTGAGGGGACGGTTCGCGCGGGATATACCGACTTTGAAACACACTAGGCATGTTGGTGGTAAAGACGTCTCGAGCCCCCAGTCTAGTGGCGATCATCAGACGCTGCTGCCACCGTTCATGCTCTAGCCTCTCCTGCTCCCTAAGTCGCTGTGAGCGGCGGTAATTCTCCAGGTCTTCGAGTGTTCCATCGTCACCATCGTCATCCTGATAGTCAAGGTCCAAGCTCAGGGCATCCCAAACTCTGCCGGCAATCCTACCCCAAGCACCTTGCCACTCGTCAGAGCGAGCTCTTATCCTGGCCCGGCGCATGCTGCCTTGGGTTCGTGGGAAATAGTAGTTGCCGCGCTCGCGCCGGGCGTTCTGAGAGCCACGACGGGTTCTCGGAGCTGGCGCAAAGTCTTCGGGCATCCCATCTTGCGCGTTGATATCCTCACCTAGCACGTCCGCACATTCCATGCAGAACCAGTGGCTAGGCGGGACCCTCTCCAGGCCAATGCAATATGTATGATATGGCACATCGCACCCATCGCACAGCAATAGAACCTCCTCGTTATCTGAGCGATTGCAGACTGGGCACGGTAGGCTAACATCCTCCTCGGGCTCGGGGTTCTCGTCAAGCCATTGTTGGGGGTCGAACTCGGCTACCTGCTTCTTATCTTCGACATGGTAGGAACTCAGGAGTTTACCTGCCATAGACCGGTTAGCAATGCTGTTTGTTTCCGCATGCACAGTGATTTTCAATGGGAACCGTAAGCGTAACTCACCTCCTATCTTGTCGTACACATGCACCAGGTGGAATTGCTGGCGGCAAATGGGGCAGCTATTGGCCTTGTCGGTCCATAGTCGTAGGCAAGAATCGTGCAGCGCGTGGCCACAAACTTGGATCTCGGCTACATGGTCGTGTTTGTTGTCGTGTTTCCGGGTACCTGTGTTGCTGGCGGTTGTGCTAACGGGGCTGTTGTCGCTGTTGCCGGCATCGTCCTTGGGTGTGACTGCGTCTACTTCGATGGATGCGGCGGGCGCTCCGGGCTCACTTGGATCCCCTGTAGCAGGGCCGGCAGGAGCGCTGACGAAGGACGAAGGGAGTGGGTCTGGGGGTAGTTGGACGTCTAGAGTCTCTAGACAGACAATGCACTGATCAGCCATCACGACTGGGATGGTGGCGCGATGCTTAGAGAGGCAGCTTCTGGGCAAAAGACGGGTAATGAAGTCATGCAACTGAAAAGATAAAATATGAGATGTGCAGGGCACGATTGGCAACGTCTAAAGGAGTTACCTGACCAAGCACTCCAAGCAAGCGACGATGAGCCTCCCCTGTCCCAAATGAAATAACGTGGGTAGTTAGGTCACTTCAGGGCGAGCAAAGAGGTGTTGAATGTTGCTATGGTTGGCGGTGCTGGCGGGTGCTTTGGCGGTGGTGGTAATGGTGTGTAAGTGATTTGCGGCAGCAGGTGTGGGTTTGGGTTTGTGCAGTGGAGGTGGGTAAGTAGGTAGTAGTTTGCCGCTGGTGGAAGCAGTGTGGAAAAAGGTGAGGTGAGTTGCGGGAGGGAAAGACGGCCAAAGTGCAGATGGAGGTCCGGTAGAGGTAGGTCACAGGTCGGATCCGTTTTGTGAATGGTGACGGGATGCCAGGCAGGTGAAGGGAAGCAACGTCAAGCTAGAAAGTGGAATTTCAAGGTTGCCGTGAACGGGCCACTCACGAACGAGCGCGAGAGAAGGTGGAAGCCAACAAGGGACCTGGAACCTGGAACCTGAAAGCTTCAACGAACGGATGGAAAGCCCAGTGTCGAGTAGGTAGAGGTAGGTGTAGGTAGGTAGGTAGAATCGAGGGGCAGACTCAAGAACCTGAAGAGAATCCGAGAACCTTTGTGGTCCTTTTTTTCAGTCAAGGAAGGGTCCGGGTTCCCGTTGTCATGCACGGGCGTTGTTTGTTTGGAGGGTCGAGCGTTGGACTTTTTTGGAGAAACCAGAGGCCACTGCTTACGCTTGTTGGAGCAAGAAAAGAAGGAAGACTGAGTGATGCCTGCCAAAATATTCCAGATCTGGAGACGGCTTTTTTTCGCCTTCAAAGCCCCGTGTTAAACGCAACCGAGACATGGACCAATCCCATTCGAGGCCCCGCCCAAGATTCACCAGCCAAGGACAGGGTCGGAGGTCACATAAATAGTAAGTAGCGGGAGCTGTAGTACCTAGGAGAGGTAGGTAGCAGCACTGGACAACTGTGATGATAATATACATGCCCGTGCAGGCATGGAGGAGGTGTGTGTTCAGCCTACCGTATAGACCCCCGGCCGGGGGTTGATGTTCAACTTTCAGGGAACTCAGGCATAGTCTGTAAGCACCCATACTACCTATGTACCTACAACACTAGTCATGCTCACCAAAAACTGCATGCAAGACGGTGATTTTGAATTTCTCCACCCTCCAGCGCCCTCGAAAAGACACGTGGGAAAAGCCAGCTGACTCACGGTTGCTTGTTGGTCTAATAATCTAGACACTATCATGGTTGCCAAAACCTTTGAGTTCCCAAGCCTCGAACGCCAAGCATGGAGGTAACGAGCGCCTGGTCCGGGCAGGCAATCAAATGATTATTCTAGTTGAGGAAGGACACCCGCGGGATGAAAAGGGCGGGGAAGTAGGCAAGATCGTGACGGGCACAAACAGTCCATGTAACGATTATGGAATGAGAACCTTGATGCGTGATAGGTCATCCTGCTCGCTTTTTGCTAAGTATAAGTAGGTACCTGCCCAAAACTGTTGGTCTGGATCTGGATAACAGAGGGTTGCCTCAAGATGCCCAGGTACCTCTACGGTTGCATGTAGGCACCGCCAAGTAATAGGCTGATGCTATTGTTGATTTATGGTGATGACTGTCACTTTGAGGACTACTTGTTCACTATCTTAGAATTCCTCACGACAAAAATGTTAGGATGACTATAGGCAACAGTGAGGGTCGATGGGGTCATGTGTTTTTCATCGCGTCAATGGCAGTAACAATTCATGACTTCTTTCCGATGTTTCTTGATTTTGGATGCTATTAAGGATGAATCTGCATAGGGGAACATGATGCCACTTTGAATGCATCGACAAGTGCCACCCGGACACTCATGAGTGCAAGACGACCGGGAGGACAGTCTTCGAGACCTCGTTGAGTCGTTGGTTTGGCAGGGGTAGAGTGGATCACACACCCCGTTGGCTGCCCATGCTAGAGATTCCTTATCTGCAATCCTGTTCACGATCAAGTTGATACCGGGATGCGTTTCGGCCCATGTGTTGTTGTAAGCAGGCTCACGAGATGTGGCAATGTGGAAGCTAGGAGCTGAAAACATGGGATTGTCACGCAATTATCACTCGGGTATGCACTGTCGTGGTGTATAAATCTGAACCGCGAAGCTTGTGCTCACCATGTCTAGGTTGTCGTAGCACAAATCGCATCTGACCGGTCCTCTTGCCAAGCTCACACTTCACGTACCCCATCTAATGCCGTCATCTCCCCGGGAGAAAAGGAGTAATCAGTCCTTCTATCACATCCGCGTGCCCGTCATTTTGATTTCTTGAGACGGTCGTTGGACAACTTCAGAGCTCTTCAAAATTCATCGTTTGGCGTCTTGCAGATGCAGGAACCCGCGAACCGGGAGCTTGAAGGGGAATAGTTCTCGACACGAGGTTGCGGACATCTAATCACCGAAATGCTGGAGGGTCGTCGGATTTGGCCAACAGGAAAGGGTATCATGGTCATTGTCTACCGTAAAATCAAACCTGGCGATCTTTTAAGACATCTTCCCAAGCCATGCTTCATGTGAGGAAAGAGACGCCGGTAAAACTCCCTGTCTAGATCGCCCCGTCTCCAGACCACGCAATAGTGATGTCGTAATGGGTAGCAGCAAATTCGTTATTGAAGGAAATCTGGTTCATCCCAAAGTAAATCCGCAGATCCCCAATTGTCCTTTTCCATGACACCTAACCCGAAAGACCAAAAATGCCAGCTAAACGACCACCTTAAACCTCAGTGATCTCACGGAGACGGCGGAGGGTGGAGCGCATGGCAGCGGCGGCGGGGGTGCTAGAAATTGAATGTTAGAAGACGAGATACGGTCGAGAGGCGTCCGTTCAGATGAAAACTTACGAGACGGTGTAGGCACCACCAGCCAGGGTCTTCTTGCAGGCCTTGCAAGACCAGATGCCGACGGAGGAGCGACGGACAGTGTTCTTGCCGCAGAAGGTGCAAGTGTAGCGGGCGTGCTGGGACACTTCCTGCTCTGTGGGGTTGTTAGTAACCTGATGATGACGGGGCGTGGGGGTTTGTTGGGTACTGACTCTTGACCAGCTTACGGAGCGAAGCACCGTATCTGTTTGTGATTGTTGGTTAGTGATGCTGTTCCTTCGGTGGATTTGTTTGAAAGTGCGTGATCGACGAGATTCATTCGTGGTGATGCTTCCATTGTGAACTGATTGAGCCGAGTAGAGTATCGAAGGTCCGTGGGAAGGTGATGAAAGCGATGTCGAGGTGAAGGCGTTCGCAATGGCCCATGAAATTTTGAAGGTGCAGAGGTCGCCGTTGTTGATTTAGCTCGAGTGTCGCTCCCACAGATTGTTGGCTTTGGTTGCCGAGTCATGTTCTCATGTCGAATGCCCTCTCTTTTCCATCCTCAGCACGTCCACCAGTCGGCGCCCATGGAAGCTTGTCATTTTCAGCCGTGTGGTTCTTCGTTCTCGGTCGTCTTGTCGCCATTGGTCTCGTTGTCGTCGTCGAATGTCCTCGGTGAATCTCGTCGATCAAGGGAGTGTGAAGTCGAAGGAAACCGTCGTTACATACCTAGTACCGTACTATTTTTGCAAATCAAAAATTAGCCATCTCGCCGCAACGCATTCTTTCTGGAAATGGAGAGTTACATACCTTGCCGGAGATTCCGACCTTCTTGGTGCGCTTAGACATTTTGGCTGGTTGAGGTGGTCGTTGTCTGGAAAACTACCGTCCTTGCTGGCGATGTGCGAATTTGACAAAAGGCCAGGGCTTTTTTCTCTTGTGTGGTGTGCGAGCGCTGCGACGGCCGGTCCACACCCCGGGAACTTTTTTCGGACCCTAGGCAGAACCATTTTGCCGACGGGACTCTGTCCCAGGGCCAATGTGTGTGCCTGACAAATGTCTTGGCATTGGCGGGGCTTTTGCCCACATTGGCAGCTGAGCCACTGCCAGCTCCGGATTGACAGCTGGCCCGCGCCCGTCGCTTGTGTGACATCAGCCAACAACAACAGCTCTGTCAGTTACCCAGCAATTGTTCGTTTCTTCCGTCTCCCATCGTCGTCTCTTTGGAGCTCCTGTCGTGCCCCCAATGTTCTGCGAACACCCTACAAACTCTTTCCGACTCCCCATGTATGTGATGTTCAGGTTTCACAACTACAGAACCACTACTCTGCAAATTGGTGGACTACCTTACCTACGGAGAAGTCTCAATGTGGGTTTCTTCCAAAGCATGCAGCGCCCTAGCTCAAATCTCGCAGCGTCCCTACCGCAATGGCCCTCAAGGTTCGCACTGTCTGCGCAAGTGACACTTTGGTGGACTTTACTACTGCAGTACAGTGTTCAAGCGCTGTCAACAAACAACGGTTCGGATACTCAGCCGTAACACTATCCAATAAGACATCTTCACGTCTTCATTGAGCGGAATGAATCCCGACATCCAGAGAAGTCTCTGGGGTTGCTGGACTGCTTGATCAGGGAGGGACCGGACATTGTATCGACGATCTCGGGCGCACTCCAGATCTGGTCCGTGTTCCGGCGGGAGGCATTGCGGGCTGCGAAGACTTTGTCAATGGCCCCGTCCCGCCCAAGACTCCTTCATCCGTTTCTCTTGACCGCATGAAACGGCGGTGCTTGCCTATTTCGGATGGCATCCAGAATACCCAGCGGAACTGCTGTTGTGCCTCGGCTGGACAAGCATGAAGCGGTTGCAATGGTGACATATGGCGTGGTGTTTTACGCTTCGGTGGAAGCCAAACAAAAAGGGACGGAGCATGTTTGGAAAAGGGTTGGTGTTCCGATGACGCCGATGCGGTCCTTCCGCGGTCCCCCGTGGTCAAAATCTTCATATAAATGATGCATCATCTCGACCTATACTAAGTTGCTCAGACACTTTCGCTCTGCTCTTTCCTGTTGGCATCCCGAATCTTCTGAAGAACTGAAGGGTTGAGACATACTTCTTCTCTTGTTCACTTTGATATCGATTTCACCCCAATCTTTGTTGTGAAAGACTCACCTGTCCCGAACCTAGACACAGTCCCAACTACCCTTTAAAATACTCCCATCCAAAGACGAAACCAGTCATCTTCTCAAGATGCCTCTGAAACAACACGGTCGTGACTACGACATTGTCGTCTATGGAGCCTCAGGTGAGTACTCAACCCAACCCGAAAGCTCACATCCAACACCTAGCTAACAACCACCAGGCTACACCGGCAAATACACAGCCCAACACATCGCCACGCACCTACCCACCACCCTGAAATGGGCCGTAGCCGGCCGCTCCCGCTCCAAGCTCGAAGCCGTCGTGTCTCGGCTCCAAGAACTCAACCCGGACCGGCTCCCGCCCTCCATCGAGATCGTCTCCTCCGCCACCGACCGCACCGCCCTCGAATCCCTCTGCCGCCGGACCTTCATCCTGCTCACCACCGTCGGACCCTATGGCTCCCTAGGCGAACCCGCCTTCGCCGCCTGCGCCACCACCGGCACGCACTACTTTGATGTGACAGGCGAAGTCCCCTTTGTCCACAAGATGATCACCAAATACTCTTCCTTGGCCGCGCAGTCCGGAGCCAAAATGTTTCCCCAAATCGGCATCGAATCCGCCCCCTCCGACTTACTCACCTGGTCCCTTTCGCAACAACTCAAGCGCGAGTTCGGTCCCGCAACAAAAACAGGCGAAGTGACGCTGAGCATCCACACCCTGCGCTCTGCTCCTTCGGGCGGCACACTAGCAACAGTCTTCACCATTCTCGAGACCTTTTCTCTCAAGCAGTTGAAGGAAGCATATAAACCCTACGCTTTAAGTCCCGTCCCGCATCCGAACCCAGACCTCGCCGAACGGCGCACCACGTGGATCACCAAGGTAACTGGCTTAGCGACCACCCCCATTCTGGGGCTGGGAACGACGTCGGTAGCAGCCAAGACGGACGCGGCGATCGTGCAGCGCACTTGGGGTTTGCTTTCGCAGGCAAGTACCAACAAGGGGAAAGCAGAAGAAGACGAGAGTTATGGTCCCCGGTTTAGCTTTAAGCAGTACATGAAACCCCGGAACTGGTTGAGCGGAGTGGCTATCCATTTGGGGTTGATGGTGTTGGGACTAGTCATGGCTACGCCGTTTTTGAGGAAGATAGCCAAGAGGTTTGTCTATCAGCCGGGCGAGGGAGCGGAGGAGGAAGTGGCGAAGCGGGATGAGTTGGAGTATTGGGGGGTTGCGAAGCCTGATTTTGGTGTTGATGAAGTAAAGGAGAAAGAGGAGGGGAACAAGAGGGCGTTTGGACGGTGTTGGTTTCGGGGGCCGGTATATTATTGTGAGTTTTTATAATCCTTCCCCTTTTGACTGGATGGGCGGTTGTTGGGACACTTACGAGTGAGATATGCTAACGGACTGAACAGATACCGGCGTCTTGTTGGCTGAGGCGGCTGCCACGTTGCTTGAGGAGGAGAGCGTGGATGAACAGCTTGGTGGTGGTGGGATTTACACGCCTGCTTGCTTGGGACAGCCGTTCATTGACAGGTTGGACAAGGCTGGGTTCCATTTTGAGACGAAGATCATGGAAGAATAAGAGGCGACACGGTTGTTGGTAGTTTGAGTGTTGCTTGAGAGTGACATGAGGAAATACGTGGAATGCATTGTTGTGGCGTTATTGATAGGATATCGTTATTTTATGAGACAGCTTGCCGTTGAACTTTATGATTTTACCTGGATGGCTGCTGTCTAGCTGTCATCGAGCGAGATAAGTCGTAGCACATATTCACTGTTTTAGTTGCCAGTATACCACACGAAAAGGTTGATCTTATCCACATATCTTGAAATCTATCTCAACCTATTTATACACAAAGAAGAAATCCGCAATCAATCAATCATGGTATCATCGCTATCCTCCGACCTAACAAACACGCTGTCTAACTAATCAATCCAATGCTGTACTTCCACGTTGAAGATTCCACCAACCTTGACGTTCCCTTTGGTATATCCCATTTCCACGTTCCCATATCGCAACAGCAACAGTCAGTTCGTATCCAACATCCAAAACAGAACCTATCACCTTACAACCTCCTCCCAGGTCTCATTCTCTTATAATACCCCCTCCCCTTCCCCATCCAAACCCAAAACCTCCACCACTCCACCCGCTCCTCCATCCTCCTCGCCCGCTCATCAATCGCCTCCTCCCCCGTCCCCACCACCAGCCCCCTCCCATTCCACACCTCCCACTTCCCTCCCTCACCAAGCCTATAATCCCCGACAAACAGCGCCACCACCACCAGCGGCACGCACCACACCAGCGCAAACTTTAGAAGCACCGTGACCGTCTCCTGATACGCTCTGGCAATCGCCTCCCGCTCTACGCTTCCCCAGGGATAACTCCTTGCCACCACCACGCTAGCATATATCTTTTTGGCCTCCCCTTTCAGCGCGTCAGGGAGGTAAGCGACGAGTTTGCGCGGGATCAGTCGGCCCCAGATGACGCCGCTAAAGGCAGCTCCCACGGCCGCGCCGACTTCCACCAAGGTAAGAAACGCAGCGGTGGCGACGCCGACGTGTGCGTGTTTGTCGCCGCACGAGGCCTGCACGGCCAGTTGCGTAGCGACGTGCATCAGTCCCGCACCAGCGCCGAGGACGGCTTGGGCTGAGAACAGCGAGTGGATGCTCACGCCCTTGGTGCGGGTCATGAGCAGGATGACGATGGCGAAGGTGTATAGTAAGGCGCCGGTGATGATGAACGGTCGGGGGCGCGGGGATCGGCTCTGGCGGATGCCGAGGGAGGCCAGGATGGCGGCGATAGTGGAGGCGAAACTAAAGGTTTGGGTAATCTGGCCTGCGCGGTTGACGGGGAGGTTGAGAGCCACGAGGAGGTAGGAGTAGAAGTAGGGCTGGACTGCGATGTAGAAGATCATGAAGTAGAAGAACCCTAGGCTGCAGCCGGCGACGAAGGTGCGGGATTTGAGGAGGTCCAGGGGCAAAAGGGGGTGAGGAGCGAGGTTGGGGCGGGATTCCCAGAGGGGGAAGAGGATGAGGAGGAAGGTACCGAGGATAATCATAGGGAGGAGCTTAGGGTCGCGCCAGCCCTGGGGGGAGCGGGAGATGAGGGTTAAGGGGATCAGAATCAGGGAAAGGCCAGCGCTGAAGAGGAGAGTGCCGATGATGTCGAGGTCGCGGAGGAGGATGTGGCGGATTTTGGTCTTGGTGGTGCCGTGGTTATTGTTGCTGCGATAGTGCTTTGGCTTGAGGATGCCTAGTGCTTCAGCTTTCCGGCGGTTGAGGTACAGACTCAAGGCCAAAGGGAGAAAGGCAACGGGCAGGATGAGCGCCCACATGCCATAGCCCCATCGCCAGGTTGTCGATGCCAGAATGGCTGACGCTATCAGCGGACCGATCCAAACCGTGACCAGAAAGGGGCTGTCTGGCAGACTGGAGAAGAGGGCTCGGTTGAGGAAAGAGCTGGTATCTGCAATGAAGACCTGCTGGAGAATCTGCAGACCCGTTGAGCCAGCCGCGTAGAAGATTTGTGCCGAAGCGTAGGTTTCCACGTTCTTGGAGGCTGCCATGAGGATGTAGCCAAGTACGCAAAGGACGATGGAAATAGCAAAGGCCTCAAGACGGCCAAAGACATCGGCGATCTTGGCCATAGGCGGTTTGATGACGGCTGGTAACTGTTAGTTTTCTTGTCCCCTAAGATATTCGGTCACTCTGCAGTTCTCAACCCACCATTGACAACATTTTGAACAACAGACACAGTCGACAACAGAGAGTGGTTATTGAAGGAGCTAACAGCGAAAGCCGTTAATGCATATGTGACCTGACCCTCGAGTGACGTTGTGAAAGCGATGAGAAAGATGCTTTCAAGCAAGCCGTGTTAGCAATCCTCGTCCAAATTGTCGAACAAAACACCGGATTGGACGTAACAAACCTCATATAAGCTACAATCAAAGCAGACTTGGTCCACGCCCTCGAGACAGCTTCAATTTGTCTCACTCCCTCCTGAATATCGGATTCGGGCGTAACGCAATCACTCTCGTATAGAGGGGTAATAGCCGTGCCATAGTCTCCTCCGTCACTGCCGACCTCGAGATGTTCCGTTGAGAAGTGGCCATGTAAGAGAGGTGACCCTATCTCGTCGTCGTCGGGCCTCATCTTGCCGCTGCGCTAATTTTATGTTTGCCGAATAATGCTGCTCATGAATGCTTTTTGGTGATTCCAAAGGAGGCGGATGCTGTTTGGATTTGTTTCAAGTGGCGTGAGGGAAATTTGTAAAGTATAATGAAACTGAGGGTACTGTTGAATCCACCTCTTTAATTTCACATGTGGCCTGTCCGGAGATAATTATCGACGAGGAAGTAATTCACAAAACCAGCCTCATAGAGAATGAAGTGGAGAAAAGAAAGATGCAAAGAAATGAAGAAAGAGAAAAGACGAAAAGGTAAGTAGGCAACAATGATCCAAGGTTAGGTGAGAGGAGACGTGTTGGGTGGTATCAAGTTCTTGAATGTGATAGCGGTAACAGCGGCGAACAGCGTAGGATTGCGCTCCCAAAATGGAAACCTTTGCTGCGTGCTTTCTCGGCGTAGGTACAGGACAGGATAGTCGACCCCTTGTAAGCGTTGTGAAGGGTATCCACGAGGTCGTCACTTTTGGTCCATTTTACAGCCTCCGGTCACCTCAGTTGATGTGATGGGTCCAGTAAGGATATGTAGGAGGATACCTACGTAGGAAAACAGGTCGACCATAGGACAAAAGGCAGCCAATCTAGGGTGACTGTTCGGAGTTTGGATTCCATAGGACCACGCCGCGCATAAGGTTATCCCGGCGCTGGGAATGGGGTTGGATTCGTTGGATTGATAAGTTGGATGAAAACCCAACAAGAAAGCCAGAGTCCAAAGGTTTGTTGCTGCTGCCTTTTCTGTTGCAAGGTTCAGTCAGTCAATCAGTTGTCTCACCCCCGCTCCGCTTAGTTCAGAGCTCGTTTCACGTAGTAGTGGCCGCGCCTGTCTCAGTCAAGTTCCGCTTTCCCAAGATCATCAGGCCAGTACATTCCTACACTACAGGCCCGATGGATGAAGCCCCGTGGGTCGTCCATCTCGTCTGAAGAGAGGAGGAGGGGAAGCAACGAACGAACGAGTTTGCCCTGTCCTTCCTGTGTGAAGAAGTGGAATAATGTAGAGCCAAACAGAAAGGTATCGATACAAATAAACTAGTGGTGTCGGGTCCTTGGCAACTTCCATGTCACGCAGTAGGTGACTCCAGTCAGTCACTCCAGCATGTGCCCCCTCCGTGAGCAGTGAGTGTGACCTGAGCATTTTCCTACTTTCCGCTTGACGATGACGCCCGCTGACAAGGTTACACCCCACTTGGTGCCAGCAGCAGTGATTTCCGATTGGCCAAAGATTATCAAACCATCTGATAAAAATTGTGGCAGCTTCAGTTTTCCCCTCAGGAAATTCCCCATCCAGCGCTTCCCCGTCAGTGCATTGCTTGGCCGCCCCGAAAGCCCCCGTCCCAGTTGCATCTCCGGCCTCTACACTAGCTACATACATATTCCATAGTGTAAGTGGTCTGCCCGGATCTCGGCGAGGTCGGAAGCTGTGGACTAACGCCATGTCGACGGCCAGCCACTTAAATTGGTGAAAGTAGTACTGTAGTGTGCTACCTCACGTACGGGCAGTTCAAATGCCGTGATACACGATCGACATCAACATTATCGCTGCGGCTAACTGCTTGCTTGCTTCCCACGGCTCGTGTTTGTGTTCATCAAGAAAGTTCAGCTGGAAACTGGTATTCAAGACTGACTGACACGGTATGCTGCATGTATTACGATGATGTTGTGATGATGATTTGTTTCACCTAGGGCTTTCAGCTCTTCATCTGCTCCGCTTTTTCCCTTCCCTTCCTCCCATTATATCCCTAACCAGAGCATGATGAATGATGCCGCACCCAATACAAAATTATAACATACATAAATCTCATTCATATACAAGACCACCACGAGTCCGCCATCCTTCATATCCTCGATCCATCTCACGTTTACCTACGACATATTCAACAGCAACCAGCCCATAGATGCCAATGAAGCAGACCCCCACAGAATATCCAAAACCGCAAAGCAAAAGCAGCCACCACCAATGTAACAGGATATTGTTATATAATAAAGCGAAAAGATGAACAAGTGCAACAAAGCGCGACACAAGAAGTAAAAGTGGTATCATCGAGCCCAAGGTCGCAATCCAAACCAGCCAACCATGTCACAAGAAGAAGAAGAAAATTGGAAAGAATAAAAAATGCCACCCATCGACAAAATATGCTTGATCGGTGGGCAATGTTAGCGAGAAGAAGAAGAGCAAAGCCAGCAGTCCATGAGCAGACCACTATGCTTCCTCCATGATGCCGCCTTCCCCTCCTCCCTCCACCGTCCACTCCTGGCTCTTCTCCGTAAGCTTTTTGATGCCGCTGACCCGGCCGGCCCAGAGACTTTCGATCGGTGTACGGAAAGTGAATGCCCGCTGAGAGCTGATCACCCCAATCGCCTGCAGCACCGCCTTGCGGCTGTCACGCCCAAAAATGGCAGGGTGGTTGATCCACTCGAGACTGGACTCGAGTTCCGCATCAAGAGCCGACACGGTAGTCGGGTCGATGGCGGATGCCCCCGTGTTCATGGCTCCAAGCGCATCGTTGGACCGACGGCTTGATATCGTGAAGCCGCCTCCGAGTCCCATGGGGTGATTTGCCATTGTAGGTGACGGCGTGTTCTTCCGGTCCGGAGTGGCGGGAATGGGCGAGTGCGTGCGAAGAGGCGTGGACGGGAGCGACTTGGTGGGCGGTCCCCCCGGTGCTGGGGGCACTGGGGGCAACCCGCCCTTACCGAGACCCTTGAGAATCGATCGCGTCTCGCTCAACAGCGTATGGGCACGATCATGCTGGCCTCTGCTGACCAAAGTCAATGCTCGAGTCAACATGTCCGACGTGAGAATTTCCATCCGCCGCTGTACAATGTACGGGTGGGGCGGTATCGCTGGCGAGGCGGTCCAGTGCTTCTTCGAGCCTGGTGTTGCCGGCAGCATTGTGATTGCCAAAAGCGATGGTCTCGTGTGCTGCGTGGCGCCTTCGCGTAGAATATCCCCCCACGAAAGGTCGGCCTGTATCAAAGGAACCTCCTCCACCGACATCGCCCTTTGATCCTCGTCGTCCATGGGTCCTCCTATCGCCTCCAGTCCTGATACGACAGTGTCCCAGTAAGCGTGTGACTGTGGTTCCTCGGACGACGTATCTGGCATAATCGTCAGCTGTACAAGCACGTCGCGCTTGTCGCCGAAGCGAAGATCGCCCAAGTTGGCTTCCGCATCGCGCCCAGTTGCCCGCTTCGTGATTTGGAGCGCGCCACTGATCTTGCCCAGCTTGGCTGGCGACCCCTCTGGGAGTTTGAGCTTGAGCTTGACATTTTGGTGGGATAAGCTCTGCATGGCACCGAGGCAGCCTGCCAGACACTCTCGGAGCATCATCCAATCCTTGACATAAGTATATGATGCCTTGGTCCTCGTCGAGAGCTCAATCATTGTGTCGGGCTTGTGCGTCGTTCCCAGGCCGAAGGAGTGAATTGTGATCCTAGAATACCGGTTAGGTCCACCTAGAAAACCTCAAAGATTGGCATGGTAAAGAGGAATAAGACATACTTGGCAGCTTCCGCACGCGACACCACAAAGTCGACACTGTCCGCATCGGAAGTCGAGGCATCGCTAATCAGCATGATAGTGGCAATGGGGTTGTTGTACTTGCGCCCCATGAGCAGATCCATGGCCACGTTCGCACCCTCAACCACATCCGCACGATGGCTCTTCTGCCCCACGGGCTTGACCGATGCCAAAACGTTGCTCCAGCCAGGCCACGCCTTGGTAGTCATGCCCACAACGGGAACACCACCGCCCGAGGATCCAAACGTCACGAGACCCATACGGTCACGATCGCCTAGGGAGCTGACCATAAAACGAAGGGCGTCGCGGACAAGGTTGATCTTCACACCTTGCATGGAGGCCGAAATCGGAACAACAACGACGACGTCAACTGGGACGTGAATCGATGGGAGCAGCCCTGGGCTTCGTACATTAGTATACTCAGTCGGGGCCGTGGTGGCAGACCTGGCCCCGCCCCAGGATGACGCCTGGGATGACACCCGCTGCTTCGAACCAGCGCTCCTGTTCCACTCGTCTTCGTCTGCCTCGGAAAATTCGCGGTCGTATTCGGGACTGCGCATTGGTGAAGTCTCCACAGCATTCAGATCCAACAGTGCCTGTTGCCACAGCTTGAGCTGGTTGCGATTCTCGAACCGAAGGTGGAACTGCGGTAGCTCGTTCACTGACAAGCTCAGCGTCAGGATGTTCTCGTCGACAGATCCGGTCTCCGATACCCCGTTCAGGTGCTTCTTGATCAAGATCGATCCCTTCAGCGTGCATCGACCCGTTTTGCGCGCCGCTTCATCCTCCCACTGTCCTGGTGCTGAGGGCACATTCTTCTTCTCCTTTACGCAGATGAGCATCTCAGCGAAGAGAAAGCATTCCAGCTCCTGCCATGACACCTTATCCTTGCCTACACGGAGTGTGCCGTAAAGTCGGAGCTTCCCAAAGCTAAAGTTCGTGTTAGCGAGAGTACTGAAAAGAAATACTTTAAGCAAATCAACTATGCACTTACCGGCTGAAGTCGAGGCCATGCCAGTTGTCAACTCGGCTGCGTAGATTCTCGGTCATCTCAGCCAACACTTCTGGTGATTCATAGGGGTAGAAGCGAGGCACGCTCCTCGCAGGCGACGGTGCGCGCGGATATGGCTCTTCAGCTCTGGATGGCGGTAGCATGGGCTGTCCATTCTGTAGGTCCTCGGGATCCGGTCTCCACTTGTTATCGGGTACCTCAACCGTAACCAGACAAGTAAGCGTCTGCTGTTGCCGCGACTTGCTAATTGTAGGGAACTCCGACCGGATGGTAACGGTCGGTGCTGGAATTGGGTTCCGGGTTATCGCACGGGGGGGACTTGATATCGACGTTTCCATAGCCTGAACATCGTAGTCGTGTCTTCGCGGTGGACCACTCTGCATCGTTTCCGGATATCCTCCCGATGAGGCCATTCCTCCGGTAGCGCCTGTAGTCTCACTATCGCTACGCGCGTGTCTCGAATTTGGCGTGTAACGATGATCGGACGACGAAGGGGCGTCGCGACTGTCGCGTTGGCTGACCCTTGCCATGGTGTGAGGTGCCAAACCTCCGTCTTGCCGAGCACTTGATGCTCGACTTGGTGCTCGTGCTAGCTGATCATCCCATGGCTGCTGCGATGGAGCTGGAGCTGGAGCTGGAGCTGGAGTTGGGGCCGGTGGTGACCGAGTGTCGTTTACGGAAACTGAGCGTACCATGCTGCTGATTTTTTCTAATGTTGAGCTGGTTAGCGCTACTGAGCATTCACGCCAGAAAGATTCGTTTTCCCTTACCGATATCCAGCACGTTTCCTCCACGGCTGGTGTCCAAATGCAATGGCGCGTTGCATGTTGGGCAAAACTGAGACTCAAACTCGCGGATGAATTCGTAAAAGCAAGCCTCGTGTGACACATGGGTACACGAGAATTGTAATATCCTCTCGCCCTGCAGGGTATGCTCCAGCGGCTCCTCACAAACTGCACACTCGCTTCCAACAAACGTGCGCTCCCGGCGTCCCCGGCTCGCGTTACTGTTCATCATGGTGCTCTCTCGTGACTGAGAAGGTGAATTAGGTGTAACTAGTGAGTAGTGTGATTGCGCGCCCAGGTGTCCGTTAGGGATTGGGCTATCTGTTAGGCGAAGCCTAGGTTAGCAGCCAGCTCAACTGAAGGCGCATCCATGATACCTAAGAGTCCTTGCTCCCGAGACACCAAAGCTAAAATGCGGTAAGGGAAGGGAATGAGAAGGGATGGCCAGTCTGAGACTCAACTATAAGAATATGACCTACCTCTCTCGGAATATGACGTCGCGGGATATTGTCTTGCAGGAACGCTGGAGTGGTTGTGGTAAGAATGGTTGGACCGGTCAAAGTCTGGTCTCCGCGAGCCGCCGCTTGCAGAGAGAATGGATGTTGAAGAGGGCCCAAGCATGCCAAGGTCATGCAACGTCGACGCCTGATGGTCGGGTGGCCGCCTGTTTTGCTGCTCCTTGGAGTGGCCCTTATGCTTGCTGTGCAACCTGCTGAACATGTGGAAGATGGTTTGCGACGACCGAAGTGACGTCGAATGTTGGCTGAGCTAATATAAGGCCGCGGCAGGGTGTTTGGGCTGGGGAAGCAAATTTGATCTGCAGCCGAGCAGTTCTAGAGTGTTTTGCCTTTTCTGCGGGATCTCCTTCAAAAGACTGACGATCAGAAGCCTGTCGCAGTAAACCTAGAGTTCTCTTTCCCCTTTCGCTGCTCGTCGCCCTTGGAAAGGCTGTACGAAGTCACAAAACGCTTGGGTCAAGCCTTTGGAGTACGTTTCAGGGGCCGTATCAACAATGCGGAAACAGTCCCAGGGATGGCGACCAGCGCATGGCTGTTTGAAACAAAGCTGACTGAAATCCCGTCCTATACTCTGTCCTTTGTGTTCTCTCTTTCGAAGTAGAAGACCACCGATATGAGGGCCGGTATTAATCAATTCCTGCTGTCCAGTAGTTGTCGATGCGAAACCTTGGTTGGTGTGTTTCCCACTCGTGTTTGCTGTCCTCAACGGTCCAATTCCTCACCACGTGAGCCCGTGGCTGCTAGCCTCGCAGAGCACCTACACGAGATACAGTGAGAAAGCCGCAAAGTCTGTCCAACAACAATGCCGATTGGTCCAAGACTCTTCCAAAGACTCTAAGAATAAGACTTGAAGCTTAATATAGTATCAGAGCCGCCCAACTCGTAGAACCGCAAGAAAACAAGCCAGCGAAGGCCAGTCAATGCAATCGTTCAAGATATCTTGTTTTGTTGATTGGCTGCGCAAAAATCGGTCGTCTGTAGAAGAGTACGATCGGCGGATTGACGAGTAGAAAGGGCTGAGTATGAGATCGATGGGGCCTTTCGTTGAGCAGCTACGTAGGTAAGAGGGAATCGAGAATATCGTTGAAGTCGTCGACTGCTTTGGTTGCTCGGCACCGGCTTGGTTGTTTCCTGCTTTCCTTTCCCTCGTTCCACACTCCGGTACGGGTCGGTTCGACTTCTGCGGTTCTGCAGGTGACTGCTCAATGCAGCAGTATGGCGCGCGCGCAAGGACTGGATGATTGGCCAAGTGTCTGAGGTCAAGATGCGGCGGCGCGGTACTTTATTCGGCCAACGTCAACTTGTTTGTACACACTAGAGAGACGTGTGTGCATACAGTGGACTTGTGAGAAAAGGAAGGGTCGTGACACCACCGACAAAAGGGCGGCTTTCTAGAAACAAACTGAAGAGCGGCTAGAGAGGGACGTGACAGACAGGCAGCGGACTGGAGGAAAAGGGAAAATCGGGGCTCCAGTTGATTTTAACGTGCCGGGCGGTTCGCATCGCAACAGAAGCACAGGAACAGTTAGAACCACCCAGGCAGGTCGCCAGCGTTGTGCTACTCCTCGCTTCTGCATCACGCAAGCTGGGGAGGGCGGACCCATACCTAGACACATGGGAGCGATCGGGGGGCGTCCCGCTCTAGGGGGGAGCAAGACTCCAACGGAACCTCTCATGGGCTGTGGTGGGCCACCGGCCGCCTGGGTCAGTGGGTTTGGTCGAGCCCGCGACATCTCGTTGGGGTCCTCCAATCGTCTCTCAGACGCTTCCAGTTCCGACCCTGTTCCTTGTATCGTTACTCTGATAGTGGAGTTGACCGGGTCAGGCGTGCGCTAAGGAGGACCTGCAGCGAAGGACATTTTCCGCTGTCCACCGCGCGAGCAACGGGATCTCGGTTCTGAGTGGTGAACCGAACAATCCACCATCCAGGGGCATCAGGGGTTAATGAGACCTACTACCTTGCTTGTGCTGCGCCTGATATTATCTCTATTTGTTTGCAATTTTCTTTTTCTTTCGTCGTGGCTTCGGTATGTGTACACTAGTTGCTCTGGAGACTTGCAAAGCCTTGTTGTGAGGCAACGGCGAACTGATCGTCAGCACTGCCATGACGATTTTCGATTTTCAAGACCCGATATATCATGGCTGAAACATCTGTTCTTAGCATCCTGAAAGTGCGATCGGTACGCAGTACGTTCGTCTCCGGCCAACCTTTTTGTTGTGAGACCACCCAGAAGCATGTTAGTAGGTGGGTGAGGGTGGGTGAGTGTGAGACGGGAAGGGCCGTGGGCCGTCCAACCAACACATAAAGTTTCGAGGTCCAAAACCGGAAGTTTTTGCGATGCGACGTGATTTGGACACTATTGGTGGAGGCGTATAGGATATCAAAGAGGAAACCATCTCGGTCATCTACATGTTCGCAGTCGGAGCAGCAAATCGATCACGTCCGCCACCGGACTTGGCTACCGAAGCTTTGCAAGGCTGAAGCAACAGCCGAATCGAGTCAAGCCGAGTCGTCTTCTTCCGATCATCGTGGCAGACGTTGGGCAGAGGTGGGAGCAGGGGAGCTTGAGGGGCAGGTCAAACCCGAAACTCTAGAGGCATCCTTGATGTCGTTGCCAGCACGTGGCGGTGCCATACATAGAAATCCAGCGCACATCACTTGTCGCGGATGCTTCCTGGAGTGTTCCAGGTTCCCTGACAGGCCCGGCTTCCTGGTAGAGTCCCCTTCGTGTCTTGCCTGTCCTGCTCCCCCCTTCCCGGATTCCCCCCTGGCCATCACCTCATCGCCCCCACCTATCGCCGGGCTTCTGGACCTGGAGAGCTGTCGGCATTTTGGCGCGGATATTGGCTCAGAGACCGAGGAGGCCTGTGAGGGTTTCTGTGGTCTCCAGTCTTGTCAGGAGTTCCCTGCTCTGGAAGGTATTGCGGAAATATGGTGTCGTTTGCGAGTGTGCCAAGCGCGTGGGAGGGTGGCGCTTCTTCAGGGTCCGCAAGACTGTAAGATTGGATTATGTACACCAGATAGACTAGACACCTTCTTCAAGCGTACTAGCAGCGGTCTGCCTGATACCCTTGAAACCGTTTCAACGGCCTTTCCGTGTGGACTGGTCGAGCTGGCTGGAGATGATGTGGGTGCGAAGTAAAGGAAGGTCGTCGTCTGGCGCGCGGGGTTGATGCCATGGTTAGGACCTACATTGGAGGATTACGAGATGGTCAGTCTGGTGGAAGATGGACTTTCAATAGTCCGTCTGCCTGGGCTAGATGTCGCCACGGCCGGTTACGGTTAGCAGCTCGGCACATAGTATGTAGAGGTAAATTACGTGAAAATTTCCTTTGTCATCCTCAAGCTGCACCTTCCCTACGACTATCAAAAAGACAAGAGTTTCAGCTGTTCCTACCTACTTAGCTCATGATGTTGCTGATATCGCACCTTCCGAAAAGCATGACTTGCTGGAAATTAGGAGTGGGGGCCTATATGTAAGTGGGTACTGTACTCACGCTTGATCCACTTCTCCCAGCTGGGCGGGCATGACGGGAGATGATTTGTCCAACTGGGCTTGCACCCTCAGCAGGGGAGCAGTTGCCTCTAATCGACCGAACGAGAAAAACTTGAAAGAAAATAATAAAAAATAGAAAATTTTTTTTGAGAAAATTAAGACAAGAATGAAGCTCAAAGAGAAGTCATCGTCAATTTCCATGACTGGTATCATTGATTATACCTTCACACACGGCTTTACACTCGCGGCGCCTTTGAACTAAGTCCATAAGTGTCTGTCTTCCGCTTTTTCATTGGCTCCACCCGTATAAGATACAGGCGTATACTGCGTATATAATGCTACTACAGGTAAAAGCCGACTTGTTATTACCCAGACTCCAGACTTCATATCCGCCATCTGCAAGGTAAAATGAAGCTTTTCAGGGTCAACAACAGACATTGGTCCCAAGCATGTGATTTCGTGCGTCCGACTGCGACATGGAGACCGCCAGAGTTCACCAAATCCTTGCGTCTTCCCTGGCGGCGAGGAATGAATGCACTGGCCGAACTCGCCTATATAGGTTGTCTGCACCCGGCGATATACCAAATATACACTAGTAAGAGTGATGAGCGAACCCAACTATGACTATATTAGCGACTGCTACCTATGATGGCCTTTTCCAACAGTCTAATACAACACCGCCTACGATCTCAACTCAGAACGGCAGCTCTACTCGCGCCCGTGACTCCAGTTGGCCAGTCCATGTGGCCGTGCGCTCCATGGTTCTTGCGATGTCCCGAAAATCCCAGAGGCCGTTCGTCGGCATCACGGCTGGAACGGCATCGACGGGGAAGACAAACAGCCCCATCATACGTATCGCTCTGATATCAGATTCATCGCCGACAGCCTCCAGGTCAGGCGGCTTGAGTCCGTGACTTAGCTTCATCCCACGGTCCACCTGTTCATGGCAATTGCCTCGGCTCCCTTTCCCAGTTTCATCTTGCCAAGAAAGAGACGAGCAAATCGGCATCCTATCCCGCGGATATTGCAGACGGGCGCGACGCCGTAAAAAAGCATCGCGGCTCGCAAGGTTCAAGCGTTGACAGCCGCGAGCGCTGGTTCGTTTGGGACTCTGGGGAAACAAGGACTGGAGCTCCAGACCGCGGGAAGTGTCGCTGGTTGCCGGTCTGAACTGAAGCTGAATCGAATCGACCAAAAGGGTGTTTCCCAGTTGCTTGAGAAGCTCATCCCCTGCCTCGCTTACGTTTCAACTTCTCTTCAGATTCCCAATCACATCCGGGGTAGCACACACGGGACACGGCCGATGAAGCTATTTCCCCAACAACACTACATACATACCGGTGCACAAGCTAGCCCCATGGTATCGGATCACTGTGATGTGATGGCCAAACCATCCCAGCCGTGGGACTAAGAGAAAGAAGGCGATAACTCCGGGACTTGTGCGTCCGAGCGATCCAGCGATCTTCTTTCCGTCGCAGCTTCAAGATCGATGGATGGCCTCTCGGATCTCCCCCGCATTTCCAGTATTAACTTGCGAGTTTTTGTTTCATGGAGGCGGGTGAACTGCTTGCTGCCAGATGTGTTTGGTCAAGATGAATTCTGACCTTACTTCACATTTACCGCCACCAGATATAGGGCCCCGCAGCATCATCACCAACGACTACTTACTTACATCATATAGGGGCCGTGCGTGATCTGGTGATACGAAACTTGAAGAGCCAATCGGCTCTAATTTCGCGTCAGTCTTTCTTTCCTCAACCTATCTTAGATCCCCGTCTCAAGTAAGAAGGCATTGCAAAGTCGTATGCAGACGCACTGACCTTATATTACACATGGGCATGTTAATATGGCGATGATGATCCATTACAGATCCAACACCGAGTAAGCATTAGCCGCGCTGTTTGAGACCTTTTAGCGTTGTGTTTCTGACCAGGAAAATCTCTCTCACCGCCTCCTTCAGGCAAATAATTGACATACATGGAGTGATATGACGATGGATGAATGTTCAATTACTGAACTCGAACAACAAGTTGGGACATGAAGTGGCCGCTTGATGCTCCTCGGTGATATCCCCTCGTCTAGCGAAGTTCGCGCTTACGATGATACGAGTGATGGTGCATTGGTTTTGTTCAACAAACCCTATCAAACGCTGATAGTACTTTTTCGGTCTGTATTCGCAGCAAGAGCAAGAGATGATCTGAAGCAAGAAGGCCTCGGTAGCTGAACCGGAAAAAAAACAAATCAAGGAGATTTACAGGAAAGACTTCGAGAACGGAGCGGTTCTGTACTATCCTATCTAGTCTCCAGACACTCGTGCATTGCACCCTTGGACTCGCATTCCCCCCTTCCAGACACACATCACCAGTTTCCTCAGGTCCGTCTTTCAACATTACCATCTAGTTATAGATTACGGGTCAAAAATCACCCCGTAGATATCGTGAACCATCCGGTCTCTTTTCAGACAATGTGCATATATTATGCTCAGGAAACGAAACATAGACGTCAACAATTACTTAGGCTCGTAGCCGTGAACTATCAGACATCCCGGTGAGCCATGTGTAGATTGAATGAATAAACAGTATAAATTGTGTACAAGGCACTTCAAAAGTCCTTCAAACCTCCGCAACCAGGGTGTCACATAATCATCACTTAGAGTCAGGGCCAGGGGCAGGGGCAGGTCCGCCAAACCAAAGCTGAGTTGATGCGAGTTTCACACTTCGCAATGGAAGTTGCAAATCATGAATCAATTCGCCGCGGGAGACACTCGAGGATGACTCCTCCAATGTACACCCGCATCTATGATGACCATCACTGCATTCTTCTTGGCTTTGACATGCCAATTCTTCCATACCTAGGTCTCTCCATCTTGTGATTTTCAAGCATTAGGTTGGTTATCTGAGAGGCAGTGAACGGGAAGGTCTGCAAAACTCGTGCCCTCTTTTGCTTGGGCAGCTTGTCTCATCGCGGCTGGCTTGAAATCCATCTGTAGGCCTGGTCGTCCGCCAGTTCCTACCTACCGCTCCTTCCATCCCATCTGCTCGTCACTCCTGCCCGTACCTGCCCATCCTGCCAAATCCCGTACCAAGAGTCATCCCAAGTCCAACCCCCGTGTCCCCCCTTCTAGACATATAACTTCCCGTCACCAGCTCCCTTCCCGTGGGCGGCTCGTTGGTGTAATTGGTAACATTCCCGGCGTGGAAATTCCGCGTCTGCATACGTGCCGCAGGAAGACAACGGTTCGAGTCCGTTACGGGACGCTCACGCTTTTTTTTTTTTTTTTTTGTTTGTTTGTTTCCTTCTCGCCCTTGTTTTTTCTTCTTTCTGAAAAAGCCTCTCCTCTCCACCCACGCCCATCTATCTATCCATCATGTAGCGACGGAAAAGGAGGGAGGGAGGGTCTATGGAAGCTGGTGGGTAGTACGTCAGGTGTGTGTATTAGAGGGGAAATCGATAGATAGGCTCAACGGAACAATACGCGAGTGTCCTTGTTGCATGTTCTTTCTGTTTAGTTGCCATCGTGAAGTGTCTAGTTAAAATGCGCCCCAGCAAACTCATATACCATTCATTTGACATCAGTCTGGTTTCTGTTTTTCTGATATAGACGTGAACGACATAAACAAATGGAAACCAACCTTCAGTACTAACCTTTACATCCATGGCCCACCTAACCATCTTGCGTAGTTCAACACTTCACGGCTGATGAGCGGTCAGTAACTGGGTCCTTAGAGGAAAACTAGGTAGCACGAACTACAAGTACTCCTCGGTCGAAGAAGAAGACCCGAGGAAAGATGGATATCCATACTTACCTACCTACCTACCTACTTACCTACCTACCTACCTAGCTACACCCCACACAATGAAGACACAACTGAAAATGATAACCGAAATGGGAAGAAAAGCATGCATGGGACGGTGCTATCTCACTCAAATATCTGTCAGACTAGATTACCTACCTACCTATCCACAACTTACCATGTATGATATTTAAGATATACAGCGGCTTACGGAATCCGGGAAAGACCTCGGCAAGAACTCCATGAAACTCTTAACGCCCTCCTGACTTTTGACCACGATCAATCACTCGCGGTTGAGCAGACTCGGAGATAAATAGTTTCTGGTGCTACGTGAATAATTTCTTTCGATGCAAGACATCGATCGGGCGTCGTATTTGCATGTTCGCTCACATGGATCGATGAGGAAGGGAACATTGATCAAGTCGATATCAATGTTAACGTGAGATGTTTGGGAGTAGAGGGGCGATGATCATTTCGGGAAACGTAAAAAGTGAGGCCAGAGCGACGGTGGAATGAAGATAGAGGAATAGGCAATAAAGCGAATACCATTGGGGCCTAGAATGGAGGTTCTCTCTTGGTATAGAATTGCGCGGTCGACCCTGAAGTGAGAGGCGTCCGCGAGTCTTTGACAGCGACAGGAAACAGAAGTGTTGTGGCAGGTGGTCGAGCAAAAAAGAGTATTGCAATGACACGCAACGACAACAGTGGGACATCATTGGAATGTAGACTTTTCGATCGAGTGAAGTGGAAAGGGCAGACAGATCTTGGCCAGACCGAAATTTGGGTATTACTTTGAGTACACGGCTATGTCACCTTGCTGCCCATATCAACAAATTCATTTCACAAGCCGCAGTATCTATCCCTTTGGCTCAATTACACGGTTTTCGCTCTTCTAACAGATCAGTCCTCATCCCAGTTCTGTCGTAGATAGGTAGTTAGCAACAAATTTCCGAGTCGGTCAAGAAAAGGCGGACTTGTGGAAAACTTACAGGGTTGGGACCGGGGGGCTTAGGACCACCGGCTTGTCTGGCAACAATAATCTGATCAACAGAAAGAACCGTCCTGGCAGCCTCGGTGGCGAGCTTGATAGCCCACTGCTTGGTTACAAGGAGATCGAGAATACCCTCCTTCACGGCATCAAGGGTACCGGTGTTGTCGTTGTTCTGTAAACTTGTCAGTCACTGCTCAGATCAGGATGAATACATGGATGAAACATACCTCGATATCCACACCTGTGGACCAAGTGTCCTTCTTCTGATGGGCGGCATAGAGCCTGCTAAGCACCTCGGTGGCATCCAGACCAGCGCTCTCCGCCAATAACCTGGGAACGACCTCGAATGCCTCACCGAACTTCTTGATCGAGTACTGCGCGAGACCCTGGGTTCTCTCGCCAATAGCCTGTATCCTCTCGACGAGCTGGATCTCAGTGGCGCCGGCGCCAGGGACCAAGCGAGCATCCTTTGTGATGGCCTTGACGACGTTGACACCGTCATCGACGGCACGCTCAACATCATCGAGGTGGTTCTGAGTAGCGCCCCGCAGAACGAGGGTTGCTGTCCTTGTAACCTCATCCTCCTGTCTAAACACGGTAACGCGGTCACCGCCAATCTCCATAGTCTCCACAACGTCGATGCTGCCCATCTCGTCGGGCATGGGCGCACCCAGACGGGCCAGGGGAGTGGCACCGACAACTCTGCATACGCGCCTGAGCTCGAACTTGGACAGAACCTTGAGAACCAGGATGCCGTATCTGTTGAGGTAGTGCATCGCCAGCTCACCGACTGTGGAACCGGCAACGACGACTCTGAGGCCGGAGTTGTAGAGCTCCTTGATCATCGTCTCGAGCTGGTTCTCCTCTCCCTTTGTGAAGTCGAGCATTTCCTGGGCGTTGTGTAGTAGGACGGTGCCCTTGGTCTCGGTCTGGCTGGTATCGATGGGGCAGGTGTAGACACCGACCTTGGCCTTCTTGGCCTTCTTGACGGTGCCGCTGGGCTCCTTGGGGAAGACCATGCCCTTGACGACCCGGCTCTGTTCGAGGCTGCCACCCATAATCTTGACAACGCGGATGTTGTCAACGTTGAAGTTGGCGGGGTTCTTGGGGAGAACGGCAAGGATGGCCTCGGCGACCAGATCAGCGAGGAAGTCCTCGCTGCCGTTCTGCTTGCTGGCAATAACGGTCCTGATGGCCTTGCTCAAACCGGCCTGCGAGCGCAAGTCCTCCACCTTGTCGACAACAAGCTCCTCCAGGGTGTCCAGGGCAATCTTCTGGGCGCGCTCGTAACCGGTGACAATGTCGGAAGTCTTGAGACCCATGCGCAACAGATCCTCGGCCTTCTTCAGGAGCTCACCGGCAAGGATGATGACAAGGTTGGTAGCATCGCCCATCTCGGATTCTTGTTGTTGACTGGCCATGACCAGCAGCTTGGCGGCGGGGTGGACGACATCGAGCTCGCGGAGAATGGTAGCGGCGTCGGAGGTCAGGATCATCTTCTGGAGGTGGTTGATGACGATCTTGTTGCGTCCAAAGGGGCCGAGGGAGGTCTGGACGGTCGAGGAGATGGCCCTGCAGGCATCGATGTTGCGAAGAACGGCGCCATCCTCGGAATCGTAGCTGTTGGTGTTGTGCCATGGTTAGAGCTTGGGTCCCTGTCTTGGTATTGCCGTATGTATAGATAGATCATGAACCCCTTGGGACCGCATAGGCGCAGGTAAAGTGACGGAGGGGAGTTTGGCGGGGTAGTAGGACTTGACGTCGATTGCTGGCAAGAAGCAGAGCCAGGGGAACAAAAAGAGACAAAACCTACTTGTTGTAGCCGCCTTTGAACAGGCCGGCGTTCGGGGCGTTGGGGATATTCAAGGACATGGTGGGCTGATTCTGGTGTTTCTCCTGAATCTGTGTTGTTTTGGTCGGGCTTCCTCTGTCTTGCGGTGTCTTCACTGGCCGTAGCCAAATGCCAAATGGACCTCCCTCCTCAGGAGCTCCCCTCCCCCCCAAGCGGTGCGGGGCCCACAAAAAAAGTCGATGAAGCGGATAGAAGACAGCAGTGGCCAGTGACGGACTTGGCGGCAGGCAACAGTTGGACTACCTATGTGGATAGGGAAGCTTCAGACCTCCATTCGGCGAAGCTGCTCCAGTTGGGAGCTAAGCGTTTAATACCTCCATATATACTCCATACTATTTGAATATGCCAGAGCATCCCGTCCCTGATCTCGCAACCAAGAATTGTCGACTTTCAGAGGGAGCATCCAGAACAGCAGCTGGGATCCATCTCTTAGCTACCGAAATAGTGGGCCTGTAACTGTACGTAGTGTAGCGTACTTGGGTACATGATCAGCCTTGTCCCGTCGCGATTGTTACAGCGGTACGTGGACAGACGGGCGTTTTGGTCGTTTCGTGACTTTCAGGTCCCGCCGCCGCCGCCATCCACGTCCACTCAGTCCAGTCCATTGATTCACTTGTTCCTTCTCTCCGTCCCAACTTCAACTTTCATTTCCATTGTGACCGCCCGACAGACAGACAGTGCAGGTTTAAAGCAGCAGGTGGCCGGCCCTTTTTACGCTCCCTTCTCTTCTCGCTTTCTGCAAACAACAAGTCGCTTTGCTTTTTCTTTCCCTTCGTTCGTCATTCTTGTAACGATTCACGATCGCAAACACGAACAACTCCACTATTAATCATTAATTCACCACCACCACGGTAGAACTACTCCAACAATGGCACCAGGTAGGTCCAGGTTCCCAAACACCCAAGACACGTTCCCACATCTCCTCCATATTCTGCCCTGCCACCTCCATCCGTTTTTCCCTTTGTTCCCTTGCCTTACCTTGCAATTGCGCTTTGCGAATTCCTCCTTCTCCATCCATTATTCCTCGTCATGTCTTCCTCCATCATCCTCAAAATGAAGAAAAAGGTTACTGACCCTTCTGCCCATCGCCCCCCATCAGCGAGCTCAGTTCCGCCACAGCTGCCTCCCTCGGTCGAGGAGGCTTATCGCAGGAAGTGCATCCAGCTGAAGCAGCGCACCACCGAGGTTGAGGAGGCCAACGATGCCGCTCGCCTGCGTCTGGCCCGGCTGAAGCGCCAGGTTGAGAAGATGAGGCTGGAGCGAGCGTTCCTTCTTGAGCAGTTGGCCAAGAGGACGAGCACTAACGTGGAGGACTCTGACGGCAGCCCCAGCCCGCCGCCCACAGTACGTGACGCCATATCATCACCCCCAGGATCACCTCTCCATCCGGGCGGACATACTCGCCATCACAATCAGCATCATCATCATCACCATCACCATACATCCCTTCATCAATCACGCACAGGTCGGGTCGGTAAGCTGACAGCCACAACCGTGCAGCCAAAGGAGAAGCCCTTGCGTATCAAGCGGGGACATCGCAAGCCCTCTGCCATGCCCAACCTCGACCTGCCTAGTGCCGCAGGCGCCACCTTTATCAACCAGAACCTTCAGACCCAGTCGCCGAGTTCCGACGCCTTCTCGGCCGCCCAGCCGACTAACGGTCTGCACAAGGGCACCCTCAGGCCCCTCAAGCCGAGCAGCGCGTTTGAACTCTACTGCGACGACAAGCGCGCCGCGTCGAAGGAGAAGGCAGCTGTGGCAAAGGCGGCGGCGGCGGCGGCCAGCAAGGAAGCCGCCGAAGGCTCCGGTAGCCCCGAAGATGTCGACAACGACAATGAGAACGAGAACAACGGCGATATTACCGATGTCGAAGAAGAGACGTTGTCGCGCGAGTGGAAAGATCTCCCCGAAGACCGCAGGAAAGAGTTCGAAGACCGAGCCGATCGGGACGCGGAGCGATATAAGAAGGAGAAAGACGCCTACGACGCGGCCAAGGCGGAGGAAGAAGAGGCGGCTGCCAACGCGGAGAAGGCGGCAGCATCAGCATCAGCAGAAGCAGAGGCAACTGACCAACCCAGCGGCTCGAAAAGCAATATCGGCAAGACGGATGATGCCGAGGGTGTCACGGCCGAGGAGATGGACGTTGATGCTGATGCCGATGCCGAGACCACTGACGAGAGGAAAGCAAGCAGCGCCAAGGCCGGCGAGGAAGGAACAGACACGCCGCGGGCGACACAGGAGGACGTCGAGATGGCCAATAATGACACCGATCAGGAGACGAAGACTGAACAGCCGCAATAGGGGAAGCGCACCATGTCTGAGCTCAGGGATGCATCGATCACTTCTGTTGTCATTGAACTCGGAGGATCACTTCTGGTCCGATAATTGAGGATAGTTGACAGTTTTAACAATTCATCGATGGCCTGGAGTATGTGTATCATAGAGTTCCTATTATTCTCTTCCATTACAGCTTCGCTTTGGCATGGCGGTACACGTGTCTTACGGATCTTTGGGCAGGGGCAGGATAGGATAGGGTTGCGGTTGCGGTCGCGGAAAAAAATCAACATACATGTTCTTTACTCATCATACATTTCGAGGACAACTTTGTGTAATTGCTTACAGAAGACCAAAGAAAGCTTCGTTGCACGAAACTGGATAGAAAGATCAGCTCTGGATACCCTACACCAACAAGCTCGAGACATTGCTCCCTCCATATTAACGTCCAGGAAACAAACCCCTCCGGCAAAGGATCAAAAAGAATTTCGCTGCATGTCTGTCCCTGACTCCCAAGCGGGAATTCATATAATTGGCTCTAGCTTCGATCCCAATATCTCTATCACCATTATGAGGCTTCCTCTTCTCTTCCGCCCACTAGCTTCAATGTCTATTTCTATTTCTATTTCCACTCTCACTTCCCCTACCCATGATACTCAACCCGCTACGACCGTCATGGCCACCCTAACCACCTTAACCGCCACTACCTGCAATAAATCGAACACCCATCAGCTTTGGCTCGGGATCAACGAGGACGGCACTCACCTACAGCCCAATCCGATTTGTTTTTTTTAATTCTCTGTCAGCTGGGAGGTGACGATTTGGGCCCGATGCTTCGTAGTCTGAGTTTTTCCTGTTGATCTGCAGATTTTGCAAGAAGCAACTAAGCCCTTCTCCACGACCGCCACTCCTCCATCACCACCACCACACTCACACTCAGTCAGGCCATATAAGAGGCTTTTACGAAGCCTCATCCACGCATAGAAGAGGTAGTATAGGCGCAAAGTTTCGAAATGAAGATCCGAGCCATGCGCCACCGCCCACACAGTTGGTCAACCAATGCCAGAGCTGATGATATATATACAGTTCAATACTGGTTTGATTGTTAGCGTGGGACTTCTTCCGACTTTGAACAAGGGAGGAATGTACAATCTAGACTATATAATTGGTCTAAATCGTCAAGAAGCCAGGGTAGTGAGAGAGTTTTAGAATAGCCTCCTCAGTATCCCAAAGACAATACCCAAAAGTGAAACACTTCCAGCACTTTCCTAGGGCTTCATCGCCAAAGTCCACCGAACCAAACTTGAGAAGGAAAAGTGTGAATCGAAGTACCACGCCAGCAATCAAACCAGGGTTGGAGTGTATAAGGGATGTTAGCCACATGGTCAGTTACCTCATTCTCTATGCCAGCTTGCTCTTGTCAGTAAGTATCAAGTGTCAAGAAGAAGGAATACAAATTCGACATCTGCCCATGTCCTTACCATGAAATCTTGGTCACTACGCAGTCAACGCAAAGTAAAACAAACTGGAAAACGTGAATGAAATGAAATGTATTAACTATGAATCTTCTCAACGCCAAAGCATCGAGTTTCGACTGTTATTACTTTTAAGAAAGAAACCATTAGTGATTAATGATGCATGTTCTGCCCAAGTCAGCCAACCATCTGGGCTCATTTTCCTTGCCATGAAATCTTGTTCGTATGCTCGTCGTTGAAGTCCGCGTGAGAACCATCCTCATGAACAGCTTTCGTTACCATCCCGAATCTGGACAACAGGCTTGGGCTCTTCCTTGACAAGAGCGTTCTAGATTTGGCCATCGTTGCTTTGAGTGACAGGGACAGGGGTATTCTGGATTTGACCGTCACCGATCTGAGCAACGGGGACAGGATCCTCCTCGGCGGGAGCATTCTGCACCTGACCGTCACCGATTTGAGTGATAGGCGTTGTGTCTTCCTCCACAGGGTCGTTTTGAACCTGACCGTCGCCGATCTGAGAAACAGGCTCGTCATCGTCCTCTCCCTCCTCTGCGGGAGCATTTTGAATCTGTCCATCCCCAATCTGAGTAACAACCTCCCCATCCTCATTCGCAGGAACATTCTGCACCTGACCATCACCGATCTGGGCAACAGGCTCTCCGGCGGAGTCACCCTCGAGCTGTTGTTCCTCAGAGCCCTTCTCGGCATGGTCATCCTCCGAGGTTTGCTGCTCAGTGTTTAGTACCTGGCCGTCGGGGATCTGAGCAGCAGTCTCCCCAACCTGGTCGCCCTGGGGCTTCTCTTGTTGAGCCTCCTAGACCGCAACCTTGGCTACCTTCACAGCCTTGCAAGTGGGGTTCTTCGGCGCGCCGCTAGTAACCCACGCGAGTACGTTGTAGTAGTAGCCTCCAACTTGCGCCCAGCATGCCTGCCAGTTCTGGAGGGCGATGGCGCCAGTGTTCTGGGGGTATTGGCCCGGAACATACTTGGAGTCGTCGGTGTAGGTAGGAACAAACAGCTGGTCCTCGTTGTCAAAGGCAACATTGAGGCTCGGGGAAGTAGAAGGCTGTGAAGGTCATGTTAGTGCGTGGTACTCGGCTGGACGAGGGATGACAGGGAGTAACGTACCATGAACAGCGTCGTGGCAACGTTAGAGCCAGGGTCGTAGTTGAAAGACAGAGGGGAAGAGACGGTGATGACACCATCTTGGCCGTTAGCCTGGAGGTTCCAGATCAAGAGACCAGAGTTGGAAGGAACGTTGTCGTTGACGGTGTAGTTGTAATAGAAGGAGGCTGAAGAGGAGCCGGCGGGGCTCTCGGTGCTGCCAAGGCACAGCGACTCAATGGCGGCACCGGCGTGGCAGGCATAGAGGTACTTGCCGTCGAGGGAGGAATCGTCAGACTTGAGCTTGAGGTTGAAAGGGCCATCTTGGGAGTAGGTCTGGGCCTGAACGGCAGCGGTGGCAGTGAGAGCAGCGAGAACGCCGGACAAGGTGAAAGACTTCATGGTGAAGAGTGAAAAGGTGTGGATGGGATGGAGACTGGAACTGGTAGATACAATGATGATGTTGTGTGTCTAACCAAAAAGTTGTATAAGTGGTGTCTGCTGGTGATGCTGTTGATGAAGAAGATGAAGAAGAAGAGAGATCAGAGTCGATGGGGGAGAGAGGATGGGAGATTATATAATGGTCCAGAAGCAGAGGGTTTCTACAGATTTCTTTGTGACTTGACGTAGCAGTTGAAGGGCCTCAGGAAGGAAGGTTGCACTGAGAACCAATGCCGATGAGGATCACGAGAATTCTGGGGAAGGACACCCATGGAAGACGGGAGATGGCCGGCGGATTCGGCATGATGGGCCCATTGCTGTGACGATCAGCATGATCACTAGTGGTTCGGCGGGTCGGCGACGAGGGTAAGAACGAAGCGAAGCTATCACGAACTTGGCCAGAACAGGAGAGGTTCAACCCGTGTTCAACGAACCAGTGCAACCACGTATTGCTTGGTTGCATTGGCAGTCCCCGTTTGAGTACCTAGGTATCCATCACGGCTCTCGTATAAGCTTTACGAGAGAGAAAAGGAAGGACGACTTTACCGATTCCACATATGGGAAACTCCCGCTTTTACCGGTGAAGTCGCAGTCTTGACGACTGGAGTGAGAGCTTTAGTGTAACGTTCGGGCAGTTACCGACTGAGCCTAGTGTAAGCGCCAAGAACCGTGACGTTGATGAGCCGAAGACGGCCGCAGTAGCTGACCAATGCCCATGTCCTTATCATGAGTGTGGCGGAGGGCAGGCCAGACCCTTCTGTTGTAGAATGCACTTTCAGTCGATGAGCAACTGCAAGACAGAGCTGAGGTAACTACACCGCAGATAGGCCTAGGTAGTGTAGGACCAGTTAGTGCGAGGTAAAACAGCGACGATGGTTCTTTTTTTTTCGGGGCAGTGCTACTTGTGAGAGGTCCATCGTCACCGCCATGCTGCTATCACCTCTATCTGTTCTCGTATTCCGCAGAGCTCCCGCTTACATCCAAACTTAGCTGACGCTTGGAGATAATGCGGTTAGGAAGGTCGGTAGTCGGATACCACTTGCCGAGATAATCCACCTCTCAAGATACCAGCCCTAGAAAGGAGGCGCGTTAGCGCGGGACTTTATGGTGTCTTCAACCGACATGACTTGATTCTCCCGACTTTGTATGCTCTGTCTCAACAAGTGTGATTGTTCTCTTAAACTCATTCCAAAATTCTGTTGTGATCTGATATGGATTGACTTCTTCGTGACCCTTTGAGCACGATCAAAGGTCTCTTTGAGGAACCAAGCCAACAATACATCAGCATTGTGACTCTGTTCTGAGATCCCCGAAAGTCTGACATTGGGCTCAAAGCAGTATGTCCGACTTATGTTGCAGTGATCGATCGATGACGGTAGGAGTCCCTTCTCGCGCTTACTATAGCCAAAACTGTTTCCGTCTTCCATTGAGGACGGAATACGAGACAGTCTTGTGTGCAAGTATGCGGTGATGACTATCGAGGGTAGCATCGTCGGCATGCGCACCGAAAGCGACCACCATGATTCACAGCTCCATTTCCCGTCTATCAGCTTCCGGAATTCCACTACCATCACGGCCATAACCTCACACACCAAACCCCCTTTTCGGCTGAATGAATTACTAAGTGGTGGATGTGGTGGCCTCCTAACGGCCTGCCTTTGAGCTTGTACTGGTAGGCCTGGCCTCCTCGCCGCAGGGGTAACTAGTGGTTATACTGAAGGACCAAGCTGTCGATATAATGAATCGAGTGTTGCTGATGATGTCGTCGGGGAACTAGAGGAGGCGGATGCGATCTGGGCCGTGCAGGGAGAGCGACGCGAAGACAGTTGGTTCGCTGGGTTGGAGAGGGAGGTTGACGACGGCTATCACTTGGAGACATTCGGGGAAGAAATCTGAGAATTATTGATTTGGTGGGTTTTGGTGAGGGTAGACTGGCGGTTGAAGGGAAATATAATGCTGACATGACCGATGCTGCCAGACCTTATAGCAGGGGCAGCGATACCAAATGAGGCTAAGCATCATTGTCGTCAAGGCCATGTTCATATGTAGCCACCGCAAGGCGTTGAAGCTTACATAGTAGAATCAAGCGTTGCCTCATAGGGCTTGATTCTTCACTTCAGAAAGCCGCTTTTTGACACAAGACATCGATGGAGAGTTTGAGGGGATTAGATGAATCAAGGTTTACCTTTAGATGCTTAACTGTTCTGTATCATAGGGTGTCCACGAAATGGGTTAACGGCCCAGTAAGAAGGACTTCTTGGTAGCCTCTCTTCAGATGATGATGATGATACTCCAAACCCGGGAAAAGATGTCAAAGATGAGAAAGGGAAGAGTGATTCCCCTGCAGAATGGAAACCCCGCCCTATCCCCGCACTCACAGCGCTCAAGCACCATCAGAGTGGCAGATCTGACGGGCTGAAGACAGCGCAACCCTGGTCGCCCCAGCTGCCCTGGCGGGCCTTACCCGTTCCTGGCGTCCCAAAACTGCGGGAGTGGAGAAGTATGTAAGTGTGTGGTGAGGAGGCTGGGCAGCTGGGGTGGGATGGGGTGGCCCAAGCTCGGTTCCCCAGCAACCAACCACTTCCCCAGCCTCCATACTAAATCTTGAACTGCCCGCAGCGCTGCAGGGTCTCTGTCTTTTGCCCACTTTGTGTAACAGGACTGGAAAACGCGAATGCAGGTTCCATGACGGTTCAATGGACAGGGCGACCAGCGCCGGGACAAAAGCCCGTCATGTGCATTCCCGTGAATGGAAGCGCAAGTGCAAGTGCAAGTGCAACTTGTGCAGACACTGAAAGTCTTTTTCTCCGGGGTAGAGGTAGCGAATAGCGACAACATCGACTCCCTACCTACTTCTATCTGAGTGCCAGAAGTAAACAATCCCTCATCAGTCACGACTCAGCCCTCCAACTTCAGCTCAGCTGGGTAAGCTCGCAACTGGTGCTTGTCCTGTCAGTGTGCCTGGGCTGTCCTGCCCCGCTACTGTACGTATCGCGCCTGTCGATGCCAGCCCCCCCGTTTGTTCCTGGTCCAGGTCCCGGTTTCCAAGCCGGCAGGAACTTGGCAATCTTTTTGTTGCCAGGCGCGAACCGCCGCGCGACAGCTTCGCCCACTATTTTTCATCCAACTTTTGCCAATATCGTCGTGCCTTCCTGTACTTAGTTGCCAGAAGACGGGGGATTGAGCAACTTCTGTCTTGATCTTTCCTCGGCCTGTTCCGAGCTGGCCGTCTCTTCAGCAAGTTGTGCCCGCCCGCCATGGCGAACAATCTTTCACCGCCCGGGTCGAGTTCCTACTCGTCCAATACCTTGACGGTAGGCGATGGAACTTGGGACTTTGAGAAGAATACCTTCCTGCTTCCCAATCTCCAGGGCCTCAACTTTGAGACTATGCGATACAATGGTATGTGCCGGCGGTACATGCCTTCCATCCATTCAACCAGAAAAATGTAACTAACAAGGAACTAACTCTCTTCTCATCAATGACAGGCATGGGCAATCGCTTCTCGACCTTGACCGAATATCACAGTCTCATCATCGGCCACGGAGTGATAGCCGCCATCACCTTCCTCTTCATCATCCCAATCGCCGTCTTCATTGCCCGTTTCTACTCGCGCCGACCTGGATACGCCATTCGATATCATGCATACCTGCAGATCATCACTGTCGGCTTCAGCACTGTCGTCTTCGTTCTCGGCTTCATCGCTGTCGGTCCTCCCCGGAACCTCACAAACCCACACCATGGCATCGGTGTTGCCATTTACGTCATGATCTTAGTGCAGGCTTTTGGTGGCAGCCTCATTCGCAAAATCACTGGCCATTCCTTCCGCCTACACCTTCATCGTTGGATGGGCCGCGCTATTGCCATCCTTGGCATTGCCCAAGTGCCGCTTGGCCTGACGCTCTATGGCTCGCCCAAGTACTGCTTCATTCTCTATGCCCTTTGGATGGGTTTTCTTCTTATTCTGTACTTCATTCTTGATTACAGAGATAAGGAGCGCCGCGAGTACTACGCAGGTGGCCCCCGCTCCGAAGTTACTGGATACACGGATGAGAAGTCGGAGAGCCATCACCATGGAAGGAATTGGCTCGGTCTGGCAGCCGGTGCTGGCGCATTGGCTATGCTTCGTGGTCGCAAGCGCAACCGGAACGAGGAAAGGGCCCTGGACCGCAGTCCCAGCCCATATCGCTCCCATGCTCCTCATGACGGGGAAACTGATATCACCTCCTCACATGTCAGGCACGACAGCTATCACGACGACAAGTATACCGACGTGTCTTCGCGACGCAACACGGGTGAAGGGGGCGGATGGATGGGTAAGCTGGTTGGGCTTGGTGCCGGTCTTTTGGCCGCCAAGTATCTGAAGAAGAATCATGACCGTCGTGATGACGAGTATTCGGCTGTCTCAACAGAAACAGGACCTAGTCGTCTTCCTCCACGGAGAGGAGGTCCGGCACCAACCGAAAGCGACTATACCGACTATACCGACTATACCCGAACCGACAATCGACGAAATTCCAAGCAAAATCCGGTCCTTGCTTCCGAAGCGGAGAGCGCTGCAGATGACCGACGCCCTTACCGACCTGGCACACCACCACGCTCGCATGCTGGCCGTCGTAATTCGCGATTCGACAGCACGATTGTCTCAGACTATTCTTCCTACGTCAGCCCTTCTAGAAGAGAAGAGCCCGAAAAGAAGCGGAGCAGCGGGGCTGGGAAGGGTCTGCTCTCGGGACTCGGCCTTGGCTGGTTCGCCAAAAAGACGGTGGACCGCCGTGCAGGAAAGGAAGAGGATCGCATAAGGGATGAAGATGAGAGGCGACGTGAAGAGGAGGACAGACGATTCGAAGAGGAAGAACGCAGAGCTGGACGTCGGAACTCCAAGTTTACCGGTGATGGCTACCCCAGTCCTTCCAGACGTGATTCCCAACGTCGTCCAGCTGCTATGCGCCCAGCAGCACCAACAGACATGACCAGCACGACCGGCACTTCGGTTCTCTCTGACGAGTTTACTACCATGGAGCCGCGAGGACATGCCCCTTACGACCCAGCGCCCGTGAGCGGCGGAGCTCGACCACCACCCGCACCCATCCCAGTTGCCGGAGGTGCTGGTGCGCCGCCTACGATTGCTCCCATTACTCCTGGACCCTCCGGTTATCCAGCTCCTGGACATGGCCCGGTTGCTATGCCCGCGATGCCTCCCGATCCGCGCGGCGTGTTCTACCCACTGAGACCCCCGACCGATACAAGCAGCAGCGACCTGACAGATGTCAATGCTGACAGGCGACGACGAGAGGCTGAGGCGGCGGCCGCAGCAGCAGCAGTATCCGCCAGTCTCCTAGCTGCACAACAACAAGAAGACGACCGGCGTCGCAGAGGCGGCCCTTCTGACCAGCCCGCTCCTGGCGTCAAGGTCAAGGTACAGAGTGACAGAGATAGGAACATCACTCTGCGTAGGATGACGGACGAGGACGCCAGGAAGGGTAGCAGCAACAACCGGCGCCGCCGAGGCGACTCGGTCAGCAGCAGCCACTCGGAATCGGAGCCGAGCAGCGGTAGGCGGTATCGCAGGTCGGATCGCCGCGAGAGCAGGAGTTCGAGCCAGCGCGGCCGAGCCGAACGGGCCGCCGAGGCAAGGGTAGACCCTTCGGCCAACCCATTATATCCGGCCCCTCTTAACACGGGTGGCAGCGGTACACCGAGGCAGCAGGCATCCCACGGTGGAAGTAGCGGAGTGCCGCCGTATGCTGGACCGTCCGGGGGCCAGATGCCCAATGTCGCAGGGACGATTTCTAGTCTGGATAGTCCCGGGCAGTGGAGCGCGCTGAGCCCGAGCGGTGCGAGCCAGAATCCGGGTGGTGGTGGTGGTGGTGGCGTCAAGAGAGAGGTGTCGAGTGCGGCAGAGAGGAGACAGAGGAGGAGATTTGAGAGGAGAGAGGGAAGTAGGCAGCGGGCTGCTACGGAGTCGTCACTCGGAGGTTAGTAAGTGACTTTTGTGTTGAGCCGTGTTGGGGTTGAATGGTTGGCTGGTTTTGCTTTTCTTTGTATGGGTTGGGCTTCTTCTCTATTCCCCCTTTTGCGTCGGTGTCTTTCCCTTTCTTTTTCTCCGCTAGATTGTGTTTGCATCCATGCCGGCATGGCGTTTGGGTTTCCTTTATGGATGGTGATCACGAGATGATGGATGATGGATGATGCTGTGGATATATGACCTGGATGATGGGTGTTTTGGCGCCATCAGTTGGACAAATTCTCAAAAGGAATGTTGACGAGTCCATGAACTATGGACTCGATATGTCTTGTATATATCTGCTGTCAAGGTAAATAATAGTAAGATGGGTTATCTGCTACCGCTCCTACATCGTTACAAACTTGTGAATGTATCAATGCCTCTCAGAATACGTTACTGTACCTTGCAGGAAGTGACTTCAACTTTGACTCAAACCGGAAGGGCTCAAGGAAACGTCGAGGCCGCAGATCAGTAACAGTGATGCTAAGCGATTTTGGTGATTTTGTTTGACTTGTAAGAGAAAAAGAATAGTTCCCGTTTAAATGGAGTTCCTGTTGTGTTCTTGGGCCTCACTGACAGACAAACAGGCCGATACTGCGGAAGTGTTATTACCTCTACCTTATGAGGAACCCCCAGGGTGTGTGGTTTTAGGGGCACACAGGGGCCTGCATTTGCTGTGCCTGTGCTGCCCCGCATTCCCCGCCATCTGATCGGGTTCGTAGGGTACAGGTTCCCTACAGGTGAGGATCGCCAAGTTGCCCGTATTTGATCTTATCTCACACGCGACGCGCTTTCCATCTTCACACCAAGACAACTACGCTACATATAACCAATTGCGACAAGCCTCACCTGTTAACAACAACGAATCCAACCCCGACTGCCAATCTAGGTAGCGCAAAAGCAACGAGAAACAACATGTCAACAGATCAAACACAACAACAACCAGAAGCTATGCCGTCGTCGTCATCGGCGCAAAGGCAAGGATCGCAACAACCTCAACCGCAATCGCAATCACAGCCACAAGAAACGAACGGTCACAACCAACAAACATCTTCTTCAGGTCTATCCCAGTCACTAAACCAAGAACAACAACAACAACCACAACCACCACCACCAGCAAACCAAACCCAAACTCAAACTCAAAATAGTCAACAACAACCAGCCGAACCCTCCTCTTCCTTCGAACCCTCCCAACAACAACCCCAACCCGCCGAAGAACAACAACAAGAAGAAGAAGAAATAACCCCAGGCCCCCGCGCCACCCGCCTCCAACAGCTCTTTAGTACCACCCTCCGACACACCCTCGACAAGATCTCGCGCGACAACTTTGCGGCATGTTACCCGACCATTGCGGCGCGGGCGCCGGGGACGTTGGAGTTTGTGCAACGGCAGATGGTGGAGAGGTTGGGGGTTCAGTGTGATGTGAGTTTTTGTCCTTTTTTTTCACCTCTTTGCCTTGTTTGTGTGTGTGTTTTGGTGTGGGTTGGGGGGAGGTTGGATGGTTGGGTGAAGAGAAGGGGAAAAACAGAAAAGTAAAAAAAAACGAAAAACAAGAGAAAAGAAAGGCGAAAAAGAAAAGGGGAAAAAAAAGGATGGCGATGGGGGGAACGGGAGGAAGTTAGGACTTGGGGACTTGGGTATAATAAAGGGAAAAGACGGAGGGCAGAGGCGAGAGCGAGAGGAGGCGAATTGGGGTGTTGTAGGAGATGGTGAAAGCAGCTGGGCGAGTAAAGTTGTGAAAATGGGCCGAGAGTTTGAGGGTAAAAAAAGGAAAAAAAGAAAAATTGGAAATGAGAAAAATGAACAGACCTGAGGCTGACAAACCCCCCCAAAAACAACAGAAAGAATTCAACTCTATCTTGCAAACAAGACAGGTGGTTCCCAAACTCAACGAGCTCGAGACGCTCGTCGGCGAAGCAAACAAGAGGAAGCGAGAAGCTGGCGGTGATGATGCCACTCCGCCCGTACCGTAAGTTTTTTTTTTCTTTTTCTTTTTTTCTTTTTCTTCTTCATCTTCTTCCATGAGAAAAAAAAAACCATTTTCCCCCATCTATCCATCCGTCCGTAACTAACTGTAAAAACAAGACCACACACCCTCCCACCATCCATCATCCTCTCCGCCCATTTAGCTCCCCACCTAACAACCACCCACTCCTCTTTAACCACCACCTTACAACAAACCCAAGCCGAAAACCATCAGCTATTCCAGGAAATCCAAGCGCAACGCGCAGAAATCGAAGAGTTGTTGGCCGTGGTAGAAAAGGCGCTGAAGGATATCGAGGGGGCGAACGAGTTATTGGAGGGCGTCGTGGAAAAGGGGTTGGTGGAGGAGACGAGGGGGGTTGATGGGGAGATTAGTTCTATTGGTGTTGAGGGTAGGTAAGGTAAGGTAAGGAAGGGGGTTGGTGGAATGGGCGAAGAGTTACTGTGATATATAAGTTTCGGGCGTGGATTGACAGAGGAGGAAAGAGGGAGAAAGAGGGTGCGAGTGTCGGTTGAAAGGGATGGAAAAGAGATCAAGGATTACGGGAGAAAAGAAAAGTTGAGACGAGAAGAACGGAAGCAGCGGAGGAAAATGACTTCGACTAGAGTTAACTTGGGGTTAGTCACAGTGCTTATGATCTGGTTGGGGCATGTCAGACCAACATGACGTCCGGGAGTTAATTCATCTCATCATCCACCGCTCTCTTTCGCAAACACGGAGACAACCTGGATTAGGGGCTAGAGTTATCCAGATTTCGGCCGTCATGAAGTCGGTACCTAGGAAACAAACTACCTGTACCTACTGGTCATGTCACGCTTGGTTCAGACTGTCTGAGACGGTGGCGCTAGGTTTTAGGAGGTGAAGCGATTCTCGGCTGGAAACATGTTTCCTCGTCATTGTCGGGCACATATGATATCACACTCGTCAAGAAGACTAGGTAGTTGGTGATATTGACCTCTAAATCGATGTACTTGAGAACGCGGTATAACAATGGTTATATCAAGCTACATACGTGTATACATCAATAGTAGTGTATAGGCATAGTCAACTAAGCCAAGCCAAGTGTTGTCTACCCATTACAAGAGCTTTGAATCTGATGTCTAGTAATGCCGGCAAACCAACGCAATGCAAACTAGCAGACAAGATCAGAAACGATGTTTCATCAAATACGATGTTTCATCCTGTGTCATGGCTCGTTCATAAAGAAAATGATGGAAACCCCTGGCCGTAGCCTTGGCGGGCCATTAGCCACCTGGCAACCTGACGCGAGCGGTCGTAGCAATAAACCGAATACGAATAGTCTAATACCGCTTGCTGTATTCCAGGAAGGCTGTTACTCAAACATGTTAGGAATTAAATAAATACGAAAACACATTGGCTTGTCTTTTAAAAAAATGTTACCATCCAGGAACTGCCTAGAATTTGGGTTTGAAGATATAATGAAGACTTAGGTGCGTAATAGAAGTATGCCCAAGGTCTATATACTGACTATAACGTATGCAACTTGTTCGTACAACCCTTCGGCAAGCCAACTGGGTCTCAACTGAACAGTTTTGTCAGGGACAAGCATCGAATCCCTTTGCCCACAGCTGCTGCCATCCGTCAGCCCCATCAACCATCAAAACACGATGCCAAACTCCAGTAGCCAACCCCCCTTCCCTTTCCAAGAAACAACAATGTGGTATTGGTATAGCAAGGAAAATGTGGTCGAAAAACTTGCGAGCTCCGAATTCGCAGTCTCTTTCTTATGCTTCCAGTAAATGCAAACGGATCGATGAAGATCAATGCAGGTATATGCCACTCCAGCCGCTCAGTCAGTCCGCTAACCCAAGTATGATGATGGCGATAAATGAAAAGTCACAAAGGAAATGGGTATATGATAAAAGTAAGGCAATATCACAACAACAACCAAGCCCGATACGGCGACCGGGCCCGCATCCCCCAATTTTTTCGTTTCGATGACCTTTCAGAGAAGTCTGTTTTCCGCCCGAATGATCTGCCATGGGCCGAATAAGTCGACCTCTCCGTATGCTGGAGGTAGCACGCGTACCATCCGCCCTGTGGCCCAGTCCACGTACCATCGCTTGCCGTTGGAGATGATGTAGTTGCTTTTCCGTGGACTCTTGAACAGCAAGACCGAATAACAGAGCTTAGCGTAAAGATGATCGTGCGTCTCGGTCCATATTTGTCTCGGCCGCCATTTTCCCGTGTCTGGGTCGACATTCTCGTTCGGATACGATGTTGTCGATAGCCGGCCTACTATCGGATGTTGACCGATGCCTCCTCGCCCAAATGCTGCAAAGTCGTTCTGCCCCTGGCTTCCGCGCTCGTTCTCTTCTTCGTGTATCGTTGGTGGCCGTGCTGTACTGTTTATCCCGTTTCTGTCGTTTTCCTCATCCTCCTCACCACTCCTACTTGACGCAGTACTTTGCCTCCTCTCGTTCAACCTTTGAAAGCCGCTGATGTTGTCTTCGGGAGTCGGCCTTTCCCCCCGAAGCCATCGTATCCTTTGAAGTCGCGGTATACTTTGATCCCGAGGGAAGTCTCGCTCATCGATAGGTGCCGCGATGTTGATAGCGGCAAAGATGCAATCAAGCCACTTGACAAAGGTCTTGAGCTCGACACATGATAGTAGAAATTGATCCGTTTCTGCTCGTAAACGGATGACATGGCGCCGCCTGCTGTTGTGTCAGCCATCAAGACTTCAACCATGTCAAGACATGTAAACGCACTTTCTGTAATCTGCGGCAATTCCGGCATCCGCATGCTGTAGACTGTAACTCTTTTCCAAAGAACCCTTCTTGACCCATGGAGGACTATCTGGCGAGATATCGGGGCCGTCCGGTCTCGATGAAAACCATGTTCGTTCCTTCTTAACCGAGTAGATGTTGAGTGCAGTCCCCCTCAGCTCGACGTAAACCATCTGCCAATTGCGAACCTCGGCGCGTTTGATCGTATGCTCGATTTCCATCTTCCTCATAAACACGCCTTCCGCAATCACATCACATGAGTACTTGGGCAGCACATCTTCTGGAGGAGCGACCGGCTTCGAACCCTGCTGCGCCGCGGCCAGTGCGCGCCTTTGCGCGGCCATGGCGGACTTCATGGCCGTCTCATAACTAGGTGGGTTCGCCGGTCGTGAGGTCATGAGGTCCCGATAGAACAAATCCTCCTCCATCGACATGCGGCGCGGGCGCTGCGACGCCTCATCGCCGACGGTGTGCTGCGAGAAGGCATCGCTGGAATCCATGAGTCGCCACCTTCCCGCTCTCCGTGTGGGCGAGTGCACAACGTGTGCTTCAACTTTGACAGGCCTGGCTACCTATGAATTCCCAATCCGCCTATCCGTCTGTCGGCGGGGTTTGCTAGACCAGTATCGTCAAGGGGCCGTTGTCACCGCCTGGAAGCGATCCAAGGAATCCGTCCGTCGGTCGTTTGCTGTTGGCTTCCTCCTTCCTAATCCGTGCTTTCTGGCATGTTGCCCAGCCCCGTGCCAGGTAGTGATAACTTGCGATCAAAGAGAACTGGATCCAAGCGAAACAGAGGTGAGACAACAAAAGTCGTAATCCTTCGCTTGGCAAGAATTATTTCTCCCAGGAATTGGAACCCAACAGGTAGTTGATGCAGCGGCCCGAGAGGTGGATGGGAGCGACAGATAGACACGGGCAGAACCGACAGTCGCCTTTGTTCAAGTTGCTTCTTGGGTGTGAAGGCGCTGAGCTTGGGTGGCAGTGTGGGGAGGTGTGACTCTGTGGAGTGATCGTCGGGGTGGGAAAAGCTTAGCATAGAGAGACCGTGTCCGACGGAGGGTGGAGGCGCATGAGACGGGTGCTCTGGGTGTGTGTGCTGGTATAAAAGCCAGCTTGAGACGCGCGATAGAGAAAGACGGAGGTCGCGGAGAGGCACCTAGGAAATTCAGTCTAAAGGAGGGAATCGATATGAGGTAATCCAGGTTGTCGTCAAAAACGCGGCACAAGTATCGAAGGAATAAGGAAGGAAACGGTCAGATCCATCCGAAGCCAAGCCAGATACTAACAATGTGGCAGGGGTGAAATTGGTATGTAGTGTATTGAAGAAACGGAAGAAGAGGGCAGTGGTAAGGTAAGTTTTCTAGAGTCAGTCAGGGCTTGCCCGGGGCCGGAAGAGAAGAGTGGAAAGGGCGAAAGAAAGACGGATGGATGGGCAAAAAGACGGGCAAGACGGGACTCGGCAGAGCAGTTTGAATTGTGTCGGGTTGTGCGAAATACGGAGCTGGGAGCAAAGTGAGCATGAAAAAGGTGGTGGAGGAAAGTAGCAGTGAGGTGGAAAGTGCAGTGCAGCGAGGCAAGGAGGAGCTTCCATCCAGAGAAACAAACCTAAACCTGCCACGAACTAGACTAGAATAGTAGTGTGGTGACTGTGGCTCGGGCTGTAGACGTAGTGTACTTTAGTCGAGTGTGCCTAACTGGGACACAGGACGGGGAGGTACAACCTTTCCACTTTCTACCTCAGCTAACCGTCCGGCCCGGGTTGATTGAGTGCGGGAGATGCAAAAGACAGGGGGCTCTGGTGGAAACTGGAAAGCGGTTCCCAATATCGAATCTCTCTCTCTCACCCCCTACTTCGGTTTTCCCCTTGAGGGCCCCCCTCCACTACCCTCGACCGGGCGGGCTTTCCACGTTTCCTGGGCGTCTTGGCAATGCCCTCTTGGTTCACCTAACGAAGGGGCTGAAAGTCAAAGAGCACGCATAATGGTTTAGGTAGGTAAGTACCTAAGTAGGGAATCGCCTCGTTTCCAAACGAGCCCCAAGAAGCACCGAGGACTCGATCGGTCCAAGCAGCCCACGCCTTCCACCTCTCACTGCGGTCCCGTAAGGAAGGAACACTGGACGCGCATTGCCAAACCATCTCAGCTCAGCATTTAGTATTAGTATGGCCAAGTCCGAAAGAGGTTCGCCGTTTTTCTTCTTTTTCCCGTCCAGGCAAGGAAGCACCAGTGGCAGAGGATCCATCAACGAACGGCTTGCAACGGCCGTACGAATCGCCATCATGATGATGATCTGATCTTATGCACACCAAGTCCCATGAACCATGCTTGAGACTACTGAACCTTGAGACTTTGACAAAGCAGAGAGGATGTCCAGCAGCTGAGTTTTCAAACGCGTGATGTTGAATGGCCCGGATCTGTCTGTGAAGCATAAAGCGGCAACAACAACTGGCTTGCAGTTGCAGGTGTCCATCGATCGTTGACCGACGTCTCTATATGCAAGACGAAGAGGAAACAAAACGTAAAAGCGAGATCGGACAACCAACAGGGACTTTCAGTTTGTTTCCGAGACGCATGACGCGGCGAAACACTTCATCGTCTTCAGTTTCCAAGCTCGTCTAGTTCACTTTGAAAGTTTTAACCAAATATATTGAACGATCGTTTTAGCTCGCATGGTCTGCGTCTCGGCCCCACTGCACCTCTTGCCTTCCACAGCCGTAGCGGCCCCAGCTGGCCGTCTATCATTGGACACACCGCGCCATCCAGCCAATGATAGCTTTGGCTTCAAGCGGATGATCCACTTTGCGCATGGCACGCTAGGCTGTTCCAGGGAGGTGCTTTTGAAGAGAACGCCAGAGACATCACCACAGACGCTCGAGCCATTTCCGCGGGCAGTATTTCTACCGCCGACCGGGGAGTTCACTGCATCCAGTTCCGTTCACCATGAGAGAGGGAGTGATCCGGCTTGTTGTTCGCTTTGGGAACACATTCAGTCGGCCGGCTTCCTAGGTAGTCATTGAAGCCTGAGAATATGGCATCCGTCATCGCAGGTGTTGCCGGCCGAGGTATGTTTTTTTTATTTATTTTCGCTGCAATCCGCATCTCCATCTCTTGGCGGTATCCTGGAAGTTGGACGCAATTTAGTTCTGTGCGACCCCGGCCGTGACCTCAGCTGCGCCAGAAAACGACTGGAACATCCCAATCGAGAAGGCAGCCGAGGAGTTTTGTTTCAGGCTGGGCATTGGGGACGTGGGTCGTTTTTGACAAATTGAGGCCCTCTGTGGTTGACCGTCCCGATTCTCTTTTCAAGATTTACTTCGTCTCTGGAAGGCGTCCGAGTCGGAGTGCTGGATCAAATGAGAGATATCTCCTGCAGTCAACTTTCCACTGTTTCACACCTCCCCTGCCTCGGTTTCAGTCCAGTCGAGTCTTTTGTGTTGTTGTGGACGGCCGGCTCGACCGAATAAGGCTGAAATGCTGGAAATTCAGAGCCAGTCAAGCCAGTGAGGGCTGCCTATTTTACTGTGGTAGGGGTGGGACCCCTGGCCAGACCTTCTCGTTTGGTTGAAATGCCAATGTCTCGTTCTCGTTTTGGAAGGTGGGAGTGTTTGCGACAATCCATTTCTCGGTCAACAAGCTCACGGGTTTCTCTCCGAGTCCTGTGCTGACCCGAATGCTGTTGGCACATTCAAGCCAAAATCTGCTGCGTCCTGTCAGCTTCAGATGGAATGCCGTCTCTCAGCGCTGCGCCGGACATAAAGGTCTCCATTCCAATTGTCACTTCGAACCCCCATTCCCAATGTTGCTGTCGGGGGTTTCAACGACGGGATGCGTTTATCGGTGGCAGGACTGACATGGTGGTCTGGCATGGGTACTGTGGACCCTGAGGACCTTGATGTCGGGCTCTCTATCAAATCGATTTTGGCCCTTGGATGCAGTGGTCTCCAGATTCGCCCCTGCCTGTCATGCTAAAAAAGATCACCCGCATCTCGCTCGCAATTTCCAAAATAAAACCCGAAGAGAATGGGAAGGTCGCTTCTTCTGCTTCTTGGCTTATTGAATGCCAAGATGCCTTCCGGATTCCGATTTTAGTTGATGGTGCGGGAGGCACAAATGACAACGGCCATAAATGTGCTCCGGTTCAATCTCCGGCCTTCAACATCGAACAGAGGAATGAAATGATTTGTCTGGGCGGAGAACCGGGCATACCATCCTCGCAACCTACTGCTGATCGGGCTATAATCTGACAACTACTTGACTTCACATCCAGGGAGTGCCTTGCCATCCTTCCTTCCCCGCGATAGCAGCAAAAGCACGCAAGCGCCCCTGTTGACAGGTTGGCGTCAACTACCGGCAGCTGCTGTTCGGCGTTAACGACTCAAAAAGAGGCAAGAATGGATTGACACTCCGGTGTCGGCAACTCTGGGGGCTTCACCGGGCGTGCTGACAGACGGGAGTCACTCGACGTGTTGGGTTACCAACTGCAGAGTTGCTTATGTTGTGTTTATCACGACTCATACATAACACTTGCTCCTGCCTGACTAGGTCAAATAGCGTGCCGATCCGGGTGCCGCTCTGTTTATGTATACCCAACCTCAATGTCACTCTTTACCACAGCCAGATTGGTTACGGCAGTTGCTCCTTCTAACATGGGCTAGACGGGCATCGATCAGAGCAAGAACAAACCAGGCATCTCCGTTGGCCGACCGGAGATCATAAAGGAGATCGTCCAGATCAGCAGAACTCTACGTCAAGATCGATTGGAGACTACCGCAGTGGGCCAAGACTCACGAATCCCCTCAAGTTTGTGTCCACACGGGTTGAATGGCCACATACCTCTTCAGTTGACTGTTATATGCAGCAAACACAGTCAAAGTTGACACCCACAAGTCCATCCTTCTCCATTTCAATGCAGGAACAGGGGCACAGCCAAAACGAGATAACCTCGGATTCAGTGCCATGATGGTGTCGTCGCCATCAGTATTTGACAGACGTGGAACCCCGTTCGAGTTGCCCTTTGGCATCACACGTGGCTGCCCCGGTCCCCTCTTAGCTCCCGAGACCGGGTGCCACAACAGGGCTACCAGGCTACGCCAGCGCCGTGAGGCCACACAGCTCGAAAGTCGACGGGGAACGCCCTTGTGATACCAATACGTCCTTTCCCGTGATCAAACATCTAGGGTTCCAGGGACCCTGGGACGTCCGAGTGTCAAATTAAAATACGAGCGAACCATACCTCAGAGTCAGAAAAGGGTTGTTTATGATAGCTGTCTTGCAATTTCAAGTCTCCGTCGGCCGTCACTTTCTGTTTCCTGTCGACAAACTGTCAAGGATTATCATGACGGACGCGTTGTCTTACTCTGTCGTCCTATACCCGGACTTCGACCTTCTAAATTCGGTCAATGGTCAGACTCTCCAATTACTTGGTACGGTCAAAAGATCCAGCATGGTCAAACATCAAGCGGAGCCCGAGCCGTGTCCTCCGCCTCTCAGCTCTGTTATAT